ATAATGGAGAAGTACACCGATTGCAGGAAACGATGATGTCTGACATTTCAATGTATCTAGAAAAGACAATTAGTTTTTCATCAGGCCTAATGTAATGGACAACTCTTTCTTTCTTAAGGAATATCTAAAAATGTTTATTTTCATAACCAATGATTATGTAACCTGAACAGGTGACTCAAGCAGTTTTAAAATAATTATTGTTCTGTGGAACTTTTGATTGTTTCAAACAGTTTTGCTTATCAAAAAACCTCAAGTGATTGATATATAAAAAATTATACAGTCACTAAAAATCATGAAATAATTTCTTTTTGTAAAAAAATACAACCGACTTCAAACGCTCTAAAAAGAATGAAATAATTTCAATAAAGTAAACTTTTGTATTAGGCAAGCTCACGTATTTCAAGTCGGCGCGGCTCAAACTGCAAATATGATTGAAATTAAATATTGTGTGTGTATTTTGAAAATCAATAAATTGTAGCTGGATAACATAAATATATAAAAAACATACTGAACTGTTTTGTATATATATTAAAGGAAATATTTTCTTGTATTTAATGTTTACTTCAGAATAAATGCATTATGAAAATAACACACACAAATGTTCTATATGAATAGGAAAATAATTTAGTTTGATATTATGATAGGGAAAAGAAGCTAGTTTAGTATTAAAACGTTACTTTTCCAAGTTAGAAACATTTAAATGCGTTATAATCTTTTTAAAGATACTCGTTAATACCACTATAATGCCGATCTCTGATTACGGTAATAAAATAACACTTAACGCATAACTATGAAAAAGACATGCAGATTAACACCTTTAGTTATAGATAGTCACCTGCAATATGGACACCCTCTTTCAATTTTGTATCAAAAATCATCATAGAGCCGCGCCGACTTAAAATACGTGAGCTTGCCTAATACAAAAGTTTACTTTATTGAAATTATTTCATTCTTTTTAGAGCGTTTGAAGTCGGTTGTATTTTTTTACAAAAAGAAATTATCTTTTTACAAATGTCCATAGAACTATACATCGTATGGCTTTTTGTTTTGAGGAGGAAAAAACTTTGTACTTATTTGCAGAAAATGATGACTCGTTGACACATTAAAAACAATCTTATCATGTTATTATCATTCACATTAACAATTGAGATGGGGCCAGCACCTAGGGGTGTATTTTAACCCAAATCGAGTGAAGGGTGAGTGTAGAATGGAGTGAGATGATCTGTGTAGCTTTGTTACTGACCAAGATCAGCAATTTCATAAGCCAGGATAATCTTTACAGCCCAATGATCAGGAACAGTTGGGTCGAGTAAACAGTTTTTCTTGCAGGTAACAAAAGGTTGGATGTTAGTCTACATTGAATCTTACAAAATCTCGATCCCACTTTACCTCTAGGAAGTCAGCATCAAATAAACCAAGAAACTAAGATTTTCTAGCTAATCTCTCAGCTTCTTATACGATGATTGTGTGAAGATACTTTCCAAACCCCTAATAAATCATTGTCGTTTGACCCCAATCGTTATTAACTACAAAATCACTCTGTTTAAATATATTTTTTGCAATAAATATATAGATTCAATTGGAGGAAGATCTCCTACAACTCCAACACAGACAGGCATATCCTTGTCTGAAAGATAATATATTTTTGTTTCATAGATCTAGGTGGATATAGAGCATTAAGGTGCACTTTAAACCACTGTGACACTGACATGCTATTATTAGGTAATTATTGGTGAAGAGACAAAATTTCTGGGTTTTCACTAATCACATAACACTAAGTCTTACGTCTTAACTACTTATTATGAATGTATCCAGACAAATAGTTTGACTATCAAGTAAATAATAAATTGAGCAAAGACAATATTAATTCTTAAATGGAGTATAAGATTTCACTTAAGTCACAAAGTAAAGCCAAGCTTCTTAAGTCATTAAGTCACAAGCTGTAGTGTAAGCAGCTTAACTGTGCTTTTAACTATGTGTTTCATATTTAAACTTCTTTTTCCAAATAAATTACCATTGAAACCCTAGTGAACATTACACTATTGCATTAAGAAGGAAGTAGGTTTGAGACCTCTATTTATTTTTTGATATTTATTAAGTAGGCTATACAAACTTTTCTTAAAATGGATTTCTAAGTATTTTATTATTTTATACATATGTACATCATAGTTATACCTATCCATTAGTTTTCTTTCCCACTTTTTAATGTTTTTTTTTTTTTTTTTTTTTTGTAAACTCAGCCTTTTCTAAAATGGAATGAATTAAGCCCGCTAAACAAACATATCTACCTAAGTAAACATGTATTTTTCTGGTAGTTGCAACATATTATGTGTTATCCATGAATTTTAGGTGAAGCCTTTGTCACATGATTTATAGCTCACGTCCACAACAGCTGCCTACACACACACAGTCACACCCACACACACACTGTAGACACCTGGCTCCTGGTGGACACAACTCTGATCAATTAATTAAACTCTGTTCACAAAATTTAGGTGGTTTTAGGGGAAGAAATCCATCCCATCAACTTGATTCTACCTTTTAAACAATAACCCATGCCAAAACGTCAATTGGCTACAACATGTACCTTAATCAAAAATATGTGGTGCGGGATCTCCCCCTCAAACCACCTAAATTTTGTGAACGCAGCATAATACCTGATTTGCATGGCTCTACTATATTTTTTTTTTCTTTATTAAATTGCATATTGTAGCCCCTGAACTGCTTAGTATAGACTAAACTAGTTACATACTTCGTCTTGCATTTCAAATAATTTTGTATTTTTATCCACTACATATTGTTTTGAAGAATATGGATTTTTCAAGAGCTTTACAGAAATATTATATCCTAATTGGAATCAGCAAATTGTACAGTTTTACGTTAAAATACAAAAAAATTATACATTGTGATTGTGGCAGGTAAACAAGCAAAACATTTGACAATTAGACCTACAACACTTATACCACGGCACTGAAGGAGAAAGACTGATTTTTTTATATTCAAACTTTAACCATCCATCATAAATTTGCAATAATTAAATTATCATTTACTATATCAGAAAGGTTTGTACAGTACATCCATTTTCACCTGCAAACTTTTCAAAAATGTGTACATGGTCCAGCAAAAAACTTTAGTTTGAATTAAAAATGAGGTTAGACCTTCATTCACAATACTCTAACCAGATTCATGTAAGAAACATTTTTCATTTAACTAGATGAAGCGTTTGCATTATTTCGTTAGTGTTTAATGATTATTTATTTGAAAAAATACTCAAATAACAACTCTTCTTTAAAGCCGTGATTACAGCCAAATAAAAATTTAAAAGGATAGAGAAAGATCTTGGTATGCAGGGAAGGGCTTGTGATGAATGGCAATCAACAGATAAAGCAGAGGTTAATTGACCAGCTTTCTCATTATTTAAAGGTTCTGTATTAGTTTACCTTAGAAAAAAAAAAACAAATTGAAATAGTTATTATTAATTTCCATCTCAATCAATCAGAAATATAAATAGTTTCTTTTTTACTCATTCCTCATTACCGGTAGCATTTAAGTCTTTTGTGTCTAGTGATTTATTCTGACTAGTGCCCAGAGAGTAGCAAATGAAGGAATGAGAGCAAAAAACGCTTGTACATATCAAGATAACCAATAATCTATGGCCTCCATGTCCATATAACTTATATAACGCTTTAAAATCTAATAAAACCTCTGCGACTCTCTGGATAAAGCCAAGCAAGCAGTTAAGCCTATTTTTCTTGGAAATTTCACTTTAATAGATGTTGTTAAATGTAAGTTTGAGATAAAAATCACTATCTCAATAAAATTAGCTAAAATTCAGCTTTAACTACTTAAAAACTGTAGCTTAAGCTACAAAATCTGAAAAGTAGTGTAGCTACAGCTTAAGCTTAACAAAAAGTAATGTGCTACTGCTTCTGTAGCATTGCTATTTCCCAATACTGTAATTCTGTATATGACTTAAGTCTTCCAATTGTTTACATATTAATCCATTTTCTATATTTTTAAAAGCACAATAACAGCTCATTCGAATGTTTCCTATAATTACGTGAAACAAGGAACCTTTAGTTTGGAAGTAGCTTTATGTGTTTCAATTTGTAATTCATCACTATGGTGTAAAGTGACTATTTCAACCCGAGCTCAAGTTTCCCGACCGAAGCGAAGCTGCGTGTGTGGTGAACTATATTTTTCGTCATACTGCAAATTAAATTAACAAACTAAGTTAGAAAACAATTAGTGTAAAGATAACCTCTCAAAATTACTTCCAACTTGCTTTCAATTTTGTTAATGCCAACAAGCAGCTGTTTGGTAAGGTATTCAAACATTATTTTGCCTATTACGAATGTGTACATTATAATATCGATATGTCATTGACATGAATGCAACAATAAGCTAAAAATGATTAAATCAATCGACATAATTATAATACATGTGATTAATTGGCTACAATCGAGGTTTACAACAGCTGACTTTTACTCTCTTGGGAGTAAAAGAAATATTTCAGACCTGCAACACATTAAAAACAGCTGTTTTACTGCAGTATGACAAAAAAATAATTCATTTGTTAAGTATTTTTCTTTATGACATGGACATTTTTAATGAAATTGGTATACATCAAGAACAAACACCTACAGTCGGGACCACGAAAGTTTGCAGTTGAGGGAGGAGCCTATTTACCATGTGACTTCGAAGGAGCCAATGAGGACAGTTGCGGTGTTGCCAAATCGAATAATACCAGCTGATTTGAAAATATTGTTTAGTATTTTAATTAGTGCCGTCAACAGGCGATATGGCAACACCGCACTAGCCTTGTCTTGTGATTGGCTGCCGCCAACTGCAGACTCTTGTGGTCCCGACGATAATCATCCAGCAATTGGCATTGGACAAGGCAGTGAAGAGTCACAATATCTTCTCTGAGTTTTCTCCCCGTTGCAAAGCACAGGCAGAGCAGCTAGTAACCTCATAAGGTATTGAAAAAAACTAAAATCTTAATCAGAAATTAATTTAATAATGAAAAATATTGAAAAGTTTCCCAGAGACATGACAAAAAAGAAATAACTTAAGGGATGTTGGCAAGGTAGTCTTTGACAGAAGAGGGGTCTAATCTTCTGAATCCATTGGCATCACAAACACCAACCTCAATGTTGTCAGCTGTCATTTGACCTTCAAAGCTCTCCTTTAAGGTCAAGATGGCAGTATGGACAGCATCATCCAGCTCCAGATCTTCACTGTATCTGTGGACAGATTATTAAATTAAACCTGCAGTAGTTGAAGACGCAATGTCAGGACATGCCAAACATCCTCTCTACCAAACCAAAATCTGGTAATTTCTACCGATTCTCTAACAAAATAAACAGTTTAACATCACATAAACACAAATGAACGGAAATAAATGGAATTATGAACGAACGGAGCTGAAATTTTACACAAAAGTACATCATGAACCCAGTCAAAATATAAAATAGACCTACTTATTTCCATAATATCTATTCGGGCTTCACTCTGTGTGCGTTCCAAGTTTCAGAGTGGAGCTGCTGTTATGTTAGTAACAAAAATTGATTCTGATTAGTCTCTATGATGATAAGAAATAAAAATACAGTGTTCATATTACTCTACATACTTTTACTAAATTTAAATATTTATAAAGTTATTCATGGTCAATCAACATCCTAAACATAGTCATTCTTTAACTTGACTCCTCAAAGGGTTACATATGAATAATAAGATAGCCATAATACTAAGAGCAGCTAGATCTATAGCAAAGTGCATTTATGTAAGGCCTATCGCCCAAGGACAGCTGAGTTGAGTGTTTTAGGAACTAAAAAGTTACTGCTTACACTCAGAACTGAACCAACAACCTTCTGACTAAAGCCGATATTTACCAAAATATAAATTAACAAGTATTTGGTCACCATAAACCACGGCATAGATTGCTGGTTGGAAGAAATGGGAATCTAACATAGTTAACTCAGCTGGCCCGTTTTGTTAAAAGATTAAAGTATGAACACAATTAATGATTTTGTTGATTCCACTAATTTTACAAATAAAAGTTCACATTTTGTATAAGAAAATAGAAAGTAAGTTTTTATTAAATCACAATCTGTAAGTAAACATAAACAATTCAACAAGTAAACAAAAGAATAATTTGAACACATGTTAGAAATAAAATGTAAATAAAACATATGTTAACGTCTCCTCCTCTATTTACTGTCCTGCGGCACTCTACGAAGAATCAGCTGATCAACATGTCTTCTAATTATTCGCCCATCTTCCAGTTGATGCTTTTTAGTTATATAGCCCGAGTACCACTTGGATGATCCATTGACATATTCCCGCGCTTGATTCTTATCTCCAACTTTGAAATTCCTTTTAATACCGACTTGGAGTCCCTTTTTCTGATATTTGTTCGGTTCTAATGTTGGAACAATTATTGCGAGGTTTGTTCGTACACTCCTTCCAAACATTAGGTGGTATGCTGATGTACCAGTTGAATTCGGGGATTGCCTGAGTTGCATTACAAGTCTTTGGATTTTGTTTTGTAGTGTACCCTTTTCTCCCTCCATGGATTTTAACGCCTTCTTGACAGTCTGCACGTATCTTTCAGCCTGGCCGTTTGAGTTTGGGTGATATGGTGCAGTTGTTCTGTGAACAATCCCACATTCATTCATGAAGTTTTTGAACTCTTGGGAAACAAACTGTCTTCCATTATCTGAAACTAAGATTTGAGGGAACCCAAAAGTTGAAAAGATTTTCCGTAATTGACAATACATGTAGAGATTTTACAAGATTTTACATAAGTTGACAACTTATGTAATAAAATCAGTTCAAGTATTTTTGCTATTAGACGCTTATATCCATTATGCAACAGAGAAATCTTAAGACAGGTTTACTTTGCTACTATTCACTCACATATTTCTTACGGTATAGAAATTTATGGTGGAACAAGTAAATTCAATTTAAACAAAATTTTACATTTACAAAAAGAAGCCATTAGGTGTATCCTTAATCTCGATATAAACGAATCCTGTAAAAATCATTTTAAAGAATTAGAGTTCTTTACCGTTTTCAGTCTCTATATTTATAAGACGATAATGATAATGTATGTTAAAAATCATGAATCAGAACTTCAAAGACAGAAAGACGTACATAATTATAACACTAGAAACAAACTAAACTTCATAACTAAAAAACATAAAAAAGAAAAATTTAAGGAGAGTCCTAATTATATTGGAATCAAATTCATGCATTCCCTCCCCAGCAGTATTAGAAACGAAAGTAGCGTAAATAAATTCAAAAATAAACTTAAGGGGTTTTTAATTTATAGCGAATTTTATAGTTTAGAAAGTTTTGAACACTGTAACAAAAAAACCGTATGACTAAGCAAGTAGGGAAGTAGGTGAAATCATGTGAAGTAGTTTTAGGCTGATGACACATTCATGTAAACTTGTTGTATGTATTGAATAAAGATTTATTGATTGATTGATTGATTCTTGGACTGTCCATGTACTTGTAGTTGTTCTTGTCTGTATCACCTCCACCCACTTACTAAAAGCATCCACTAATATGAGGTACTGTTGGCCATCTGTTGGTCCTAAGAAATCAATGTGCAATCTCTTCCATGGATTAGTAGGTTGTTCCCTTGGATGGATAGTTTTTCTCGGGTTGTTGCATTGTTCAATGCATTGTCGACATTCAGCTACCATATGTTCAATATCCTTGTCTATACTTTTCCATCAGCAAAAACTGTGAGCTAAAGCCTTCTTTTTTATTTCTCCTAAATGAGCTACGTGTAATTCTCGAAGCACGTGAGGTTTGAGGGATTGAGGTATCAGAATCAGAATCAGAATCATCATTTATTGTCTTTCAGCATTACATACATGCAATAGACAGTGCCATTTTACATGCAAAATAAATAAAAAAAATAAATAACATACAATTTGTATAATCTGGCTGAAATATTTAGGCGGTTTAAGGGGAATTTTACATATATCCCCTTCTCCACTTATTTGTCTAATAGCCTCTCCAGCTGATAACGCTTTGTTAGCAAATGTCAAAACAAATGAGTAATCATTTGTTGATGTTTTTGTTTACTATGTGGTTTGGTTTCTGTATACTTAAGTAATACAGTGTGATTTGAAATGGCAACTAAAGCTCCAGATATTTCAGTACAGACTAAAAAAATAGTGTTTAGTGTTTATCAAAACCTAAAGGATATAGTTAAGACCCATCCAAATGTTACAGTATTGGAATTATTCTCAAACACACAACAAGCTACTGCAGATGCATGCTCATTGTCACTTCGAAGTATTCAAAGAATTACCGCAGAAGGAAACAAAAATCCTATACATAATAATTGTAGGAACCAATTTCTATCATCTACAAAAAAGAAGCCTCATAAAAAGTGGATTACAGGCCTTGACGGCTTTGACAGAGATGTCGTGCGACGTACTGTATTAGAGTTCTATGATCGAGGAGAATATGTGACCTGTGATAAACTGAAGAATGTTTTAAGAGATAAAATCGGGTTTAGAGGGGGGCGAGACTCTATGCGGAAGGTTTTAAAAAAATGTGGGTTCACATTTAAGAAGTGTAATGATGGTAGGCGTTTTTTAATGGAAAGAGACGACATAGTAACAGCAAGATTAGAATTCCTCCGAAAAATGCATGACTTAAGAGAAGATCCACTACAGCGGCCTATAGTTTACCTGGATGAAACCTGGATTAACCAAAATCATTCAAAGAAATACATTTGGCAACATTCGTCAAACGAAGGTGGTTTGCGTGTCCCAATCGGTAAAGGTTCGAGATTAATCATTGTTCACGCCGGATCAGCAAAGCACGGTTTCATTGAAGGAGCTGAGCTGGTGTTTCAGTCCAAATGTACAGGTGACTACCACAAGGAAATGAACCACGAAGTTTTCACAGAATGGTTTGTAGATATGTTGAAACTCTTAGATGAGGGGTGTATTGTTGTTATGGACAATGCCAGCTATCACTCAAAACTGAAAGAAAAAATTCCCTCTTCAAAGACTAAAAAAAAGGACATTACAGAATGGCTAACCAGCAAAGGGATACCTCACAACCCGAGACACACTGTCAGAGAATTATTAAACATCGTCAGAAGTCACAGAAAGGAATATAAAAGATTCGAAATCGATGACATTGCTCTGTGGATGGGGCATGAAGTGGTGAGACTTCCCCCGTACCATTGTCAGTACAACCCTATAGAATTGATTTGGTCACAGGTGAAAGGGGAGGTGGCAGAGCAAAACAAAACTTTTAAGATTAAAGATGTGAGAAATTTACTGGAAGAGTCTATTAAACGTGTTACCGTTGAAGATTGGAAAAACTGCGTGCGACACAGTGAGAATATTCAGAAAGAGGACTTTTTAAAGGAAATAGGCATCCGTGATGACAACTTCCAGCGTATCGTAGTTGATCTCCAGAACGACACAACTGACAGCGACAGTACCGATGACATTGATATGGAGAGCACAGACGGAATCGAATTCTAACAATATTGAAAACCGTGGCAATCAAAGGGTTAATATTGATTGTAGAATAATAATGTAAATGTTATTATAATATACCAACATCAACGACTTTAATGACTAATAATGTTATATTAGAAATTAATTATTTTGTTTAGTTACTATTTTAATTAAATTATTTTTAATACTGCTAATGAAAATATTATTCTAATTTAGCTTTGATAGCTTTTAAATTTGAGCTGTAACCTTTTGATCTTTTAATTTTATTTTTTTAATATTGCTCAAATTGAGCAGTTTACAACGCCGAAAAAATGTCACCGCGAGTCCACAGACTCGCTGTAACAAATTTTGCGGGATCGCTTTCAAAGCGATCTTTTGAAAACGTAACACTGATTCGCTCACTTATAAATACGTAAGTCCACGGGCTCACTTTTCCAATCCATGAGCAGAAATGAACCTTTGAGATCGTTATTGGTTGTATAGTGGTGTTTATAGGTGATTATAGCTCGATTGAAAATAGAAAAGTGGATATATATCCACTTTTCTGTCGAGCAGGTAAAAAGAATAAATAACAACTTTTTTTAATGGTGATGGATCTCTATAAGTCTTTAGTTACTCAGTGATCTAGTCACTGGGAGAAAAATGCTCCGTCAGAAACCTAGTACGTCACGGACTCCTTTTGCGTACTGGATGTTTGTGATAGGCGTCATTGCGTCCATTTATTTGTTTGTTAAATTCAAGTTCAGGTTATTTATCTGTATATTTAACCTATATTTTGTTATAAAAAGAGCTATATTTTTTAAGTGTTACAGTAATTTAGTTAGTTTTTTTTATGGTTTTCTTAACTGTGTATGCTATACTAAACAAACTTTTAAATCAAGACGAATTTGATAACATTTTTCGCGTCACATATAATAGCTACAAACACAGATTTCAGTGCCTAAATTTAGAAATTTTAGTATGGAATACCCCCTAGGCCCCCAGGATATAATTTGAAAATCAGCCTTTTCCAATCAAAAAACGTCTAATTCCAACCATGTATAAGGCCTGTATGAATTAGGTATAAATGAAAAATAGAAGTGGTTTGTTTACGTCTTATACATAACAGCAAACAGCTGTCTTGGTCAGTTCCAGTGGAGGGGATAAGAGTTCTTCCCCTTAAACCGCCTAAATATTTCAGGCAGATTCTTACGGTATAGAAATTTATGGTGGAACAAGTAAATTCAATTTAAACAAAATTTTACATTTACAAAAAGAAATTTAATTAATCATAATCCATTAGGCCATTAGGTGTATCCTTAATCTCGATATAAACGAATCCTGTAAAAATCATTTTAAAGAATTAGAGTTCTTTACCGTTTTCAGTCTCTATATTTATAAGACGATAATGTATGTTAAAAATCATGAATCAGAACTTCAAAGACAGAAAGACGTACATAATTATAACACTAGAAACAAACTAAACTTCATAACTAAAAAACATAAAAAAGAAAAATTTAAGGAAAGTCCTAATTATATTGGAATCAAATTCATGCATTCCCTCCCCAGCAGTATTAGAAACGAAAGTAGCGTAAATAAATTCAAAAATAAACTTAAGGGGTTTTTAATTTATAGCGAATTTTATAGTTTAGAAAGTTTTGAACACTGTAACAAAAAAACCGTATGACTAAGCAAGTAGGGAAGTAGGTGAAATCATGTGAAGTAGTTTTAGGCTGATGACACATTCATGTAAACTTGTTGTATGTATTGAATAAAGATTTATTGATTGATTGATTGATTCTTGGACTGTCCATGTACTTGTAGTTGTTCTTGTCTGTATCACCTCCACCCACTTACTAAAAGCATCCACTAATATGAGGTACTGTTGGCCATCTGTTGGTCCTAAGAAATCAATGTGCAATCTCTTCCATGGATTAGTAGGTTGTTCCCATGGATGGATAGTTTTTCTCGGGTTGTTGCATTGTTCAATGCATTGTCGACATTCAGCTACCATATGTTCAATATCCTTGTCTATACTTTTCCATCAGCAAAAACTGTGAGCTAAAGCCTTCTTTTTTATTTCTCCTAAATGAGCTACGTGTAATTCTCGAAGCACGTGAGGTTTGAGGGATTGAGGTATCAGAATCAGAATCAGAATCATCATTTATTGTCTTTCAGCATTACATACATGCAATAGACAGTGTCATTTTACATGCAAAATAAATAAAAAAAATACATAACATACAATTTGTAACAGATAGGCTTATAACTATAATACTGATTTAAAAATTAACAGAATGCTCTTTATAAAATTCTTCTAGGCTGTAAAAAGGATTTTGGATCAGCCAGTCATACAACCTTTTTTTAAACACTTTAAGCTCCAGAAATTTACAGCTATCACTTAACTTATTAAATAATTTCAAACTAACTATATTAAAACTATCTTGACATTTACTTAACCTAGTATATGGCAGGTCTAGCATAGATTGGTTTCTTGTATTATGGCTATGGATATCTGATCTTAAAACTAATAAACCTAAATTAAAATCTTTTTTCACCTTCACCAAGCAAACAAATATATCCAAATTTATCACAGTTTGAATTTTACATTTTTTAAACAAAGGTTTATGCCTAAGCTTTCCATTTTTTTCAAGAGAAACCTTATTCAAAATATGAAGTGCTTTTTTTTTATTAACAAAACTTGATCTATATGAGCACTATTTCCCCAAAGAATTAGGCCATAATTTATGACTGACTGGAAAAATGTGAAATAAGCTGTTCTAACATATGACTCAGGTACAATATCCATCAGTGATTTGAGCAAGAAGGTGACTCTAGATAGTTTACAACATACTAACTCAACATTTTTTTCCCAAGATAAAGTACTATCAATTACAACTCCTAGAATTTTAATATTCGTTTTCTGATCCTGGTTGTTGGCCCTTAGAGTACAAAGAAGATTTTGAGTTTTTTCTAGGTTTAAAAGGAGGTTATTTGAGCTGAACCACATCTTAGCTTTATCTAGAGTTTGTTCAATTGTTGATTTGAGATGGTCATAATCTGAATGGACACTTAAAAAACTAGTATCATCAGCAAATATAATAGTTGATGAGTTGGTTATATTGCTAGCTATATCATTAATTACCAGAATAAAAAGTAGTGGTCCGAGGACAATCACTGAACCCTGTGGCACTCCGGTTTTCACTTCAGAACAATTTGACACATTACCACCTGCATCAACATACTGACTTCTCCCACTCAGATATGATTCAAAGAACTTGAGTTGAACACCACCGATGCCATAGTGATTAAGCTTATTTAAAAGAATTTGGTGATCAACACAATCGAAAGCCTTGCTCAGATCACAGGCAGTGATCTGGGCAAGACTTCCGTTTTCAAAACCCAAAAGGATCTCTGAGATCATTTCTTCTAGGGCATCAGTAGTAGACAACCCTTTACGGAAACCAAATTGGGAATCAGACAATAAACTATGGATATCTAAAAATTTACATATCTGAGTTTTCACTACCGCCTCCATAAGGCTCCATATCATGACTCTCCAGCCCTTCAGTACACAATCATCTTGAATGGACAGCTCGTTATCGTGAAATCCATATTGTTCGACAGATTGTCCTGATTTTAAGGCCTGTAGGACTGGACCCAACACAGAATCGTTGAGAGTTTCCTTAGCCACCACAGTACTGTTGACATTGAGTGTTTCTAGTTGGTTTATGTGGTACTTAGAGAGGTCATCTATAACATTTTCTTGTACAACTTCGGTAGGGAAACGTGAGAGATAATCTGCATTGCTATGATGAGCAGTTTGCCTGTACTCTACGTCATAGTTGAACCCGGAGAGAAAGTGAGCATAGTTGAATATCCGTGTTGCCGAGATTGTTGGTAAAGTCTTTGCTGGATTAAAAATTGACACTAGCGGTTTGTAGTCTGTAATCAAAGTAAACTTGCGGCCATAACAAAATGGGAAAAACTTTTTCAGGCCCCAATATATTCCCAAGGCTTCCTTGTCGATTTGAGAGTATTTTTGTTCTGATTTTGTTAAAGATCGAGAGGCGAAGGCAATTGGTCTGTCTGTTCCATTGTTATAGCGGTGAGACAGGATGTATTGTGGAGGCAGACATTGCAGTTTGTGTATTGTACTTTTTCTTTTCTGCTTCAAGGAATGTTCGTATCTCTCCATATATTTCTTCTAACTGCCATCGAATTTCTAATTCACTTTCTACTGAATTCGTGTGAAGTTCAATATTTGACTGTGTAGCTTCGAGTTCAGTCCATATTGCTGAAAGTTTTTCGGTATAGTAAGTACATGTATCTTGAGAATGTTCACATGTAGTTAAATCATCCTTGAGTTTGTTCAAGCGTAGTTCAAGCCATTTCCTCTTCTTGAGATACAAATCCAATTCTTTTCTACTTACCATCCCATCCTCGTCGCCATTGTTGATTCCATTAATTTTACTAATAAAATTCACATTTTGTATAAGAAAATAGAAAGTAAGTTTTTATTAAATCACAATCTGTAAGTAAAAATAAACAATTGAACAAGTAAACAAAAGAATAATTTGAACACATGTTAGAAATAAAATGTAAATAAAACATATGTTAACAGATTTGAATCTAATTTGTGAGAAAACAAAGATAAAAAAATATCACCCTATTTTAAAAGTAAAATTGTTAACCAACCTTTTTTCAAGGAAGGTCCTAGCACTGATGAAGTTCTTGCCCATGGCTGTAGCCTTCCATGCGAAGTAGGCTCCGGAAGGGTCACACTGGAATAGATAGGGCCTGTCTTCGTCCCATCCACAGATCAGTAGTGATACTCCGAAGGGGCGCACACCACTAAACAACAAGTATGAAATGGATTTAAAAACATGTAATGTGCAAGTAAAACAAGTGTAAAACAAGGACCTAAGTTTTAAATTATGTAGTATTTTCCTGCATTTTTCTGATGATAATACCATTGGATCACCACTGGGCCTTAAGTCATCTTTGGCTCCAACTCAAACCTTCCTCAGTTGAAAATGCTGTCAGTGAAAGTAAAAAATATACTTTTGTGTATACAAGTTTTTCCATAGTGTTTTATAGTGTTTCTTGTTGCAGAGTTCTTATCCATTCAGGTTAGCTTGGCATAATGACATAAGACATTATGAAAGTTTGGGATAGGATTTATTACATGCTCTATGAAGATAAAGTAAACTGTTGCAGTTTGCTTGTTTATGGATATATTTTTAAATTTTTAAAATTTTTAAATTTCATATCTACTAATCCATGACTATTTTACTAAGAACACACTTTATTAACTCCCCTTTAGCTACATAATTACTCATTAAACCTATTTTATTTTTAAGGGAACAAAGTTATTTTTTAGATGTTTTAGAGTAGATCAAATCGAGCAAATGAAAATTTGCTTAGTCTGCAGGTTTGTTGTGACGGAGGTATACTATAAATATTAAATATACTGTAAAAATATTTTTGATCAACTGGGGCCCATTTCATTATAAAAGTTACAAGTTGTTGTAACTTGTAATTTGTATTAGATTTGCATTGGGCGATCAGCTGATTTACTAACTAGGGTGGTCTGCCGTTATACTTTAGACGCATAAATGAGCGAAGCATTATTTAAAGATTGTCAATGGCTAAAGCAGCTAACACCCTACAATATATTCCCTTTCAACAGATTCACCGTTTGTTTGCCCGATATTATTTAAATTCTAAAGAATGCCAAATTTATCTGATAGTTCATACTGTACCTTTGTAGTGAAACTGGCCATCCTGACCATTTGCTTGTACTTTGTAAATGGGCATAGCAGGATGTACTCGTGCAATCAACATTTGTTCTACAATCCTCAGGTCAGTTAATTTGTTCGGGACACTTGACACATCCATATTATTTAACGCCGTGAATTTAGTTGCATTTGAACGACAACGCGAACAAATCGGTGATTGGTTTGAAGCTGTTAGTTGTTGGCGATGACAGTTAGTGCAAGTGTAAAATTTTTGTGCATCTAATTCATGTTGGAATTGATTAGCTAACTGCCTATCATTATCAGCTTCTTCCGCCACTGCTTCAACTGGTTCAACTTGTTCACGACGCCACTCTCTTACAATATTTGCATTATCGGTGCGACGACCAATATTATGACGTGGCCTTTGAGGTATGCTCAAAACAAATATAGCAAAACTACTTCCATTGATAAACTGTTACATTCCAACTTTAACCTATGATGAAAGTAAACATTGAAATGTAAACAAAACAGTTACAAACAATTAACATATGTTTATCTTATTTAAATGAAACGAGATAAACCCATATGTCATAAACCCAATCTAATTTTTCTTTCAACTTACATTAAAATAACAAGCGAAATTGCGTGACCCGTACAATAAAATCCAGAAGGAAATTTGCAAATATTTTTTTACCAAAACATTGTGCTCAGTATTCTTTAGCTGTTGGCCAAATTTCATATCAATTGGTCAAGCCATTACATTCTGATGCTCTTACAAAGAAGTTACAAAGTGAGGGAAAGTGAGCTTCGCTCAATAATTTAGTTTGTACTTTATTATAAAAAAAGACCCCTGGTGTTAATTCTGGAAAAATAGGAACACGTGTTGTCCCTCATACGATGAATACTAGCAATACTAGTTAGAAAAGTTTAAGATTACTATATATTAGGCCTACTAATTGATTGACAATGGACCTTGAACACTAATACTATAGACCCTACTATAGTTTGTTCAATAAAAATCAAATAAAAAGGATTTGAGTAAATCGTTACCTTGTAATGAAATTACTAGATTCAAACCGTGGCTATGTGTTTGTATGTACCAATACATACCCTGACTGAGTGTACTCCTGCATCACCATGGCTACCTTCTGTACCAGCTGGGCCGTGGGGATGGGAGTGTTGTAGACGGTGTAGTACTGCTGAGCCATCTTACGGGCGCTCTTCACCAGCAGACGGTAGTCAGGGCCCATGCCTGCAACAATATGGTTGTCAGGATCAAAGAGAAAATACTAAGAGTAAATAAGTCTTAAAATTGCATCTACATTCTAAAAAGACTATAAAATTCATAAAAATATTGATTCCTTTGTTTCAAAAATGGCCGCCATTATCCAAAATTTCCAAATTTTAAAATAGGAAAACTGTGTAATTTATAAAATATGGGGTCTTCCATAAGAAAAGTTGGCGGCCATATTGGAAAAATGGCAGCCAAAATTATTTGTTCAACTTGACCAAAATTGTTTGGATAAAAAATCCAAGGCAGTTACAATTTAACATTGTTTTGTATCTCTATACCTTTTGAATAAAACAGCTGGCACAATTAAATACCAATCACCCTGTATATGAATTTGAACGGATGGTGTTTTGGCATCTGGAGACATCAAAACGAAAAAGTAATTCGGTCCCGGGTCCAGGTCTTACTATGAGACCCAAGGTAGGTAATAGCTTATTCCCTATATGGGAAATTCGCTAAAAGTAAAACATTTAGGTAAAAAGGATTCAAAAAGAATTTACAAGCCCAACCCTATCTCTAGTCTAGTTCATTCAGTGACAACGATAAACTCACCAATACACTCACAAGTACACAAACGAATACCGTGGGTGACTAGTACCATAGACAAAAAGAATTAAATATAGACAGTCAGCTGTGCTGCGGTTACCATAGGTTCTGGCGCACACCGCTGGGAGCGCCATGTATTTACGGCGTACGCGCTATGTAACTACACGGCGCTCCCAGCGGTGTGCGCCAGAACCTATGGTAACCGCTAGCAATTTTTTGCTAAAAATGTTCAGTGCCAACCCGATTGGTCAACAAATTTTTGTGTCTAAATCTTAACTTTTTGTATGGAAATTTTACGACCAAGTATAGAAAACATTGTGTGAAAACAGAACTACAATTCTGCGTGGCACTCAAACCACAAACTGGCATGGCACTTTACGTGTTAACAGTAGTTTATAAATAATGTAAATGGAGAATATTTTTTTTGTTTTTCCTTTTGCAACAATAATATATCTCAGACACAAAAATCTTAACTTAAATGTTTTAAGTAGGCCTAGAAAATTATTTTTTATTTTATTTTCTTGTCTCGTACCTGCTAAAAACTTTAGACAGCATATAATTTGCAACTCATGTTCTTTTAAACTCATTAGAAATTTAGTCACAAGGCTTTTCTCTCGTAAAAACAAATGCCACTTTGGTCACTAGTAGCACAAATAACTTTTTTGATTTAAAAAAATTAGATCCAGATTCCTTATATTCTAGTTCCTGAATATTTAGACCAAGTAAACTTTTATCTCTAAAATAGTAACACAACAGGTACCGGTAATGTAAACCATTTGCACTTACCACTGTAAACCATTCCAATGTGGTCAGTGATCATCTCGACTTTATTGACACTATGTTCTTCATAAAGGATGGACTTGTGCTTGTTTTCGGTTGCCAAAACCACTCCATTTGAAGCTAAGAATAAAATATATGGTTAACACAAGTTTCTCTATATACAAAAGTACTGAATGAACAAGGAAAATTATGTATTATATTTGTTATTGTATTATTGAAGGTCTGATATAAATAGTGAAAGTAAGAAATTTGTAAGAGCTAATTTGGTTGAGGAAGATTATCGGAAGTGCTGGTAAATGACAAGAAGGGATTAAAACTAAAAACAAAAAAACCACATGGAGATAAGACAGTGACACCTAGGTATAGTTATGTAAATTCCCTGGGATTTCCAAAACTCCTACGAGCCCATGTAGTGATGTGCGCCGGGTAAATACCCAATGGGTAGGTAAATATAAATTGGGTATTCACCCTAGGCCCGTGTAAATACCCAAAAACTGGGTATTCATATTTTTTATTAAGTTAGAAAAGATTGAGATGTTTTTTTTGCAATTATTACCCTGTAAGGATAGTAAAATGATGATAAAATGTGTTAAACAAAATTTCATATGGTCACTACTAGCATTTTACTTCTGGGTATAATCGCCATAAATACCCAGGTCTGAGCATAAAGCATAATCGGCATAAATACCCTGGTAGCATGGTGGCACTGGTCCTGACTATTTGATTTTTTAATTTCTATGATAAATAGATGAATTTATTTTATTGAAAGTGAAGAAAAATAATTTGTTAAGTTGTAATAATTATTATTTAGAAAGACAGGAAAATTTAACCTAGTAGTGGCCTGTGTGTAAACAACTTAAGAAAATAATTAAAATTCAATCTGTAGGATGGCAGGATTTAATAATATTTTTGTTCTAGATCTTTTGTTGGTATCAATGGTATCAAAAAAAAAAAAACTAATTTCATAAACTTGTGATACAAAACATTTCAATCTATAGCACAATAAATCTTTCAAAATCATATTAAGTTAGACCAAAAAACAGGAGATACATTTTTTTAGTAGGTTTATCCAAATATATTATTGTTTCCAACTAAGCGGTAACACAGAAAAGTTTAATTACTTTTAGTATTCTGCCATTCTGCCTATGTCAATCAGGCCTTAGATCTGTCTAGCCTTCAATGCCATTCATACAATAAAAATTTGAACTATCATAATTTAATAACAGTAGAAGTAGGTTTAGGTTCACTATTTCTCTGATGAGGCGTTGTCTTGATTTCATTTCATAAGGAGTGTTTAGTTTCTAGCATTCTCAATCCCAGGTAGCATCACAGGCTTGTTTTATTACTGCACACCTGCACACCCAGCCTGTTTATGTTATTTAATTGGTTATAAATTTATAAAATTATAAAAATTGAAATAGCCACAGCCTTTTTTAATATACTATTTTTTAGTAAGTTAAATTTAACTGATGCTACTCGATTTAAGACACGGAAACCCCATGCTTATTTAGAAACTTTATATATATATATTTTTTTTTAAGTGCTGAATTATTCAATAAAAAGGTACTAGCAAAACTCCAAGTTACTGTAAAAAGTGTTATAGACTATCCTAATTTATCATGTAATTATAACAATAACATATTTAGGGGTGAATATAAATGAATTTCAATCGATTTCATAAATAACAAAAATACCCGGGTATTTTGGGTATTTACCCCGAGTTTTAAATAACCGGGTATTTTACATCACTAAGCCCATGACTTGAAAACTGTAAAATACAGAAAATTTTACAGACACACATAAGTTACACTACAGCTATCTCACCTTGGCATAAGAATAGGATTAACATTTAGGCTATCTACTGTAGTACCTATTATTAATAATAACTTACCTTTAATTCCAACAGAGGGTGCTCCAGCCGCAACAGCAGCCAATGCATATTCAATTTGCACCAACTTGCCTGAAGGACTAAACAATTTTTACATTAATTAAATTGTTAATTAATTGACAACATCTATATTAAATTATAGATGTAAAATCCATCTAATTATTGGCATAAATTATAAATGTAGGCTAAAAAAACTCCTGTTGTAACAAAAAAAATTGGAAAATCTATAGTCACTAAGCTATTTGGCAAACATAAGTTTGTATTGAGATTGAACTATGTAAATATCTTAATTGCAGCATACCTGCAGAGTAAGCAAACTCTTAATAGCTTTAACACGTTTAATTTATTAAAATATCTTCATTGTAAAAGAAATTTTACACTTCATTTCACAACCAACGAGTCCTTAAGGTTGCTGCTAGAAGGATAACAAAAACTTATTATTTTGATAAAATTGTAGAAGCCTATGATGGGGTTTAAACATAGTATACCTGTGTGTTTAAATCCAACCCTCTGAGAATTTTTAGAATAGTCAATTAAATAGACTAAAAAATTGAACAATCACTGTTTTTAGAATCTGGAGACCATGAACCAAAATGTACAGATGGTCCTGGACCTAGGTCATGATAATACACACTTTAACTACGGGGTTTATACGGGTGACGCCTATAAATCATGTTTTGTAACATTAGCACTGGCAGATGTTGCAGTCAGGGAAATGATTAAAACTAAGCCTTTCACAATAAATATTTTGGTACCTATGCGTAATTGCACGAGTCTCCTGTTGCATTAAAACTGTTCAATCGCTCAATAACTCATTTATTTAGCTAGATCAACAATATACATGCATTAGCCAAGTCAACTTTACTATAACTAACTAACTTGAACTAACTTGTTAAATGGTATGGTATACACTTCATTCCTTAACCAATTTTGACGCGGAGAGGCTTAATTTTATTACTACCCTAACTAAACAAATATGCAAAACCTCTAACTCACGTTAGGACACGGTGGGAATCGGCGTTTTGGGCGAGGGAGATTTAAAAGGTTGGTAATTATCGGAAGGGGAAGGAAAGGGTAATTTGAATTTTAAGGGATAGTTATTTCTTATTGCATAATTAATTTACATAGGTCTAAATTGCATTACTTAAGAATTGGGAGACTTGGGACTCGTGGAAGTGGGACAGTTTAAACCAATATTTTCCCTTAAAAATGGCTTGCCAAGGACCAGCCATAGGCTACCTAGGATTGGGGCCTAGTCTTGATTCATGCTTGGTATGATAGCTAGGTGAACGTTTAATAGAGTTTTCACTGGTTAAAAATATATTTTTTTTCTACTAATGTGCAGTTTTTCACACTAGATCTGAAAGTGCATCAGTTTGAAACGGAAAAAGTCCTAAGTGTCCGAAAAACAAAATCAAAAGATTAGGCCTACAAATTTAAAGTTGATTCGCAAGGTGGTTTGGACGAGTCCAACTTCTAGCAGTCACTAACATTTTAAATAGAGGAAGGTATGTGGAAAGAAAACAGCTGTTAACATGTGATGCAAAACTAACAAAACCAACCTGAAGACTGTGTGTTCTCACACAGCCCCGACCTACCATCCTCACATGCCACATGTAAGAACTGATTAGGCCTAGTTATTATTTTTATTATTATTACCTATTGAGATGGGGACGGAAGCTGCAGCTATGTGCGTATTTTCACCCAAAAATGAGGGAAGGATGTGTGTAGAATGGATTGTGATGCCTTGTTAGCTTTGTTACTGACTAAGATCTGCTGTTAGCAGGGATAATTTTTAGAGCCCAATAATCAGGGACGGCTGGTTCCAGTTTTGAACCTTCAAAAAGCTAGGCCAAAAAGCTACAGACTTTTCTCAAGATCGAACCGGCAACCTTTTAATTGTTAGGGGAGCACTATAACCACTCAGCTACCCAGCCTATCAGTTGTAGGCTAATGATCAACCAAAAGTTTCCTTTTCTAGATGCCATTGATGTTTACCATTTAATACTTGAATACTTATCAATGAAATGGCGACCATACAAAGTAGGTATTTTAAGCCAAGTATGAATGGAGATGAGCAGGGGTGCCCATCCCCCCCAAAGCTCACGTTGCAGAATCCCCCCCAAATTCGTTGTTTAACCCATGCTGGAAGGTCTGGGGGCTAACCCATAGTTATGTTTATAATGCGGGGAGGGAAAGGGGTGCCCCCGACACTTCTTTAAATTTATGGGAATTTAAGCGTTTGAATCAAACTGTTAACCCAATTTAAATGGACAATTTTGCTTTAAAACTCTAGTAGCAAACTATTTGTTAGTTTAGTTTTAATTTAAATGAGTTGGATTTTTAACATGCACACAATTTGAATCAAAATTGGCCATGTAGTTTTTTTTTATCCGATTTTCCATGAATTAATAGGTTTTAAAAGGGAAAATCACAAAAGTTGCAATGAATTTTGAACCATAATTTTTACGGCATAGAGGGTTTATACAATTTTTTTCATAGTCAAAGAGTATAACATGTTAATTTTTAATCAAAATCGTTTGGACCAATTCTGAGAAAATTTTATTCATCCATTATTTTATAGGGTTTTATGGAATAATCACTATTAAAAATCCAAAATGAAAAAAAAACATCTGGAGAGACCATGGATTGGTACCTAAAATACCAAATTTCATCAAAATCGGACTCGGACCACAGGCGTGGTCTGTAGCTCTGTACCATACATACACATATACACACATACAGACAGACAAACACATCACTTCGAAAACCACTTTTTTGGGATCAGGGTTTTTACATAAACAATTCTTTTACCATATTAAATTGTAGGGGAGAAAGTACTTAAAGTTATGTCAAAAAGTTTGAGATATTTTCTAAATTGCCCTTTAATCCACTTCTGAGTTTGGTCCTTTAATAAGTGTAAAATTTTCAGTCTCAAAAATATTACTAGGCCTAAACTTAATAGTATATTTCGTGCCTAGGGCCAAAAATGAGGTTTTGCTGGTTCGAGATAGTTTTTAAGTTCGATACGAAGTCGAGGACTTAAAACGATCGAGAACTGCAAAACCATTTCAGTCCGTGGTACGAATGCTATTATTCACCACACTATACCCTATTACCACTAATTCACCTCAATGATAATGCACTGCACACTGATATAGTCAACACAACTACAACTTTAAGGTCATATGGATAAATTATTTGAGGAATCAGCAAAAATAATAATAAATAGTTGCTAGGCAGCGGTGACAATAAAACATCTCTATTGCAATGCTATGGATACTGATTGTGTATTTACTATGCATTAATGTTTTAAGAAAGTAAGCGGGCAGCTGATTTTGCTGCCCTAGGGATGTAAAAACCTGCTCAATCCCCGAATGACGATGACAGCTGGCATGGCCTGCAAAGTGTAACTTTCAGTCAACAATTAATGTATACCTATATGTAAAACAGTTTAAAACATCATAGTGTGGTAAAATAGTATATTACGTTACTAGTCCTGAATCCCGTGCGAGACGAAGTCGAGTAGTGGTTTTTTTATACGAGTCCGGCCAACACATTTTGGACGAGTGACGTACGATAGTTTACGCCATACTAGTAAATCCGTTCAAATCCCTATATATTACCACCAACTAAAGGACTATAAATCACAAGTCATAACCTCTAAGAGAGGTTATGTTTTTGTTATAACCACTCATTGCCACCCAAATACAGTATAATCAGCTGATTGGTATCCGGCAAAACTCATTACAGTACAGTAGTACGCAATGAAACCCCATTTGATTAAGCTGGCGGCAAACAGCTGTTTTCTGGACTAAATCCTTGCATGTGAAGTTCGTCAAAATAGTGTAGTGTGGCGTAAAAAATAATTATATATCTATTCTAAGACTAGTAAAATTTGTTTGAAGCTCTTTCTAAATTCAAGAAAAGACAATAACAAATACAATTTAATTAATCCAGAATCATGTGTTTAAATTCTTGAAGTTAACGTAAACACACAGCCTATCAAAAACCTTAATTAAATTGTCACAGTACTGTATGTCAATTTCTTCCAATGAATAAATGACCCAGGCATAATTATTTGGGAGAGCCAAAATATTATCACAAGCTTTCATGTTGTTGTTCATGTTGTAAAAATAGCAAAATGATTATCATTATCATAATACTGGTTTTTTATGAATCAAGTATATATTATAATAAACAAACCTAAAAAAACCATCAATAGGTCCTCAAGGCAATGAGACTATTTGAGAATGAGTTCATAATAAAAGGTAAAAACAAACTCAAATTGCAGATACAATTTAATAAGCCAACCACAATCCTTTGACAGCAGTTGGCATGGAGTTGTTCTCACTGTCAAACATGATACGAGTCAGAAGGTGGATATCCACATAAAAGTATCTATATATTTTATAGCAATTATAAAATGATTTATTAATCAATATAAAATGTCAAACGGGATTTTGATTGCATAATTACCCCAGTAATAAATTAAGGAGATCGTAAAAATTATCTGATTAATCTTTTATGTGCTTTTAACCAACCACTGGCTTGAATCCCCCCCAAAATCATAAAATCCCCCCCAAATAAATTTCTGATGTCGCAAAATGCGACATCAAACCCCCCTGTGGGCACCCCTGGAGATGAGTGTAGGATGAGTGGCGCGATCTTGTAGTCTTGTTAGTGACTAAGGCCGACATGTTCCTTAGACACAGCTAGCTGTTAATTAATAGCCCATACAGTCAATTAATAGCAGGAGAGGTCAAGTTTGGTATCAAATTAAAGGTTTTATTCATAAAAATACATTGCCGCAAACTCAAACGATGATGATGATAATAATCATCATACATATACAGTCAGTACTGTATACAGCATACTGTATAGTGTATACTGTAGACAGCTAATGGCAATTAAGGGACCTACAGTTAATAGTGGAATCCGAACCAAATTTTTGCCTTGGTATTAACGAATTGGTCTAATTATAAGGATAGTACTGCGGATAGTCATAGTAATCACTAGTGCGGACGTTAATCCACACCAGGGAGTATCGTAACCACAGTGCATGCCTATAAATATCCACAATTTTTTGACCTCCTAGTAGCTGGATTACTGGAAGTCCCCACCATCCCAATCTATTTACCACGTAGTCCTCGCCACAATCTTCGGTAGAAAAGCAATATGTGGTGGCCTTGTTTTTTCGTTGATGATATTGGTGTTATCTGCGTATCAGTCAGTGAAAAGAATGATTGTTAAGTGTCATCTGTGAAGAGTATGTAAGTTATCTGGAGTTGTTGTCAATTTTTTTCCAGGAGGTTATTTATGTACACTGTAAAAAATAATGGGCCTAAAATTTGGTACTTGAGGCACGCTACTGGTGGTTGTTCTTAGTGAAGAAAAGGTAATCTTCAAGCATTCTTAACGCCATAGTGTTAAATTTTTTTTAAATCTCTTCATTATGTCCTAGCCACCTAACCTCTCAAAAGTAAAGTCTCTCCTTACCTCATTCAAACCGCTACGGCACAGTATTGGAACAAGTCCAGTCAATTCCACTGTAACTTCTAGGTAGCGGTTTTGTTTGTAATGCATCACGTATATTAGCCTAACTTATTATTTACACTAAGCTGTACGCTCTCCCACGTATACCTTCCTCACCTCTAGAAGTTGGACTTGTCCAAGCCACCATTCAAACTAATCAAATGCACCTTAAATTTGTAGTTTTTTTATTCGTTTTCTGGCAATTGGAAATTTTTAAGTAGGCCTACCATTATAAAAACTAAGTCGATTGCATTTTTGGATTCTGTGTGAATAGGCCCTACACAGTAAGTATAGTAAGTTACGGTAGGCCTACTGTAGTCCTTGAGGACATAGCCTATGGAAATTAAATGTTCAATCTGTGAACTAACTTAGGCCTATAACTTGTAGAAAGTAGAAACTATATAGGACTAAGCCTACCTTTGCCACTAGCTTTTCCCTAGAATTAAAGGCTACCTCAGGGTTGCCCCCCGTCCCGATTCTGCCGGGACAATCCCGATTTTGGTTCCTTAAGATTCAAGATTTTTATTGTCATAAACACAAAACAGTGCATGGACAAGCGTCAATATTATAATACATCACATAAATTATATCTAGATAAAGTACGTTCAATGATACAAATATCATAATGCAACAAAGTAAATGTGGTAAAAGCATACAAGGTAGTAACAAGCATCTGTACTGTAAAAATGACTAGAAACATTTTTTAAATCTATGTAGACAAAATGCCTGTAAATAAGCCTATGTTAATTCGTAGGGAGGGGGGGGGCAATGTCCCGTTTTTCCCCTAACCTAAGGTGGCAACCCTGGGCTACCTAGTCAAAAATAACTTAACTTAGAAAATTTGTTTATGATCTAGAATAGGTACTTAAAAAGGAATTAGGCTAGCAAAAAATCTACAAACCAAGCTTACAGTAGGCCTACCTAACATAATAGCCTAGGCTATATCAGTGGAGAAAACGATAAGTTATAACAATCAAGGCTAAAGTAACTTACATAGGTAGACTAACATCTAAAGGCCCTATGACTATGACCTGTTGCCTATAATTTATTATCTACCTAGGCCTATAAATTAAATGCTAATCAGCTAGGGCTTGATTAGGCCTAGGTTAAGTTACCTGAATGTTGTCAACGAAAAACTGTATCTTTCTGAAGCCATGATTTTGCTAGTTCAGGCAAAACAAGCTGATCTATCGAATTTCCGGCTAGGAATAACGCCGCCTCACTTATAACTTTATTTTATGTATTCTTTCGCCAAAGCAAAGACAGATCAGTACAGCTATTATAAAATAAATTATAGAGGTTATGTTGAAGATTTTGAGGAGGCTAGGCGTAGCAGCATTACACTTGATATTTTGAAGTTTTATCACCGACAACCAAAGTAAGTGGACAGTCACTATCTATTTTTTCCAGTTCACCCCCGCTACAAAATGAACTTTTCTACACCATTGATTAAAGAACTCAGAAAAAGAAAGGGTCATTTCTGACCACGTAACCACGGCCGTCGGCCGCCTTTAACTTTAACTACAGGCCGCGGCCTGGGCATGGTAGTATTGGCAACGTCGCAAGTGGTGTTGTTCAGTCAGTAATAGACGTCCCATAAGATAACATGGCAGACAGGTGACATCAGCTCATTAATTCACACTTTATTGATTTGAATTTAAATTTATGTAAAATTTTGAAAATAAAACATACAGAATTGAAAACCGAAACAATATGAATTAGAATCTATATCACTGCATTTTTAAGCAGAGTCAATCAATGTTGTCATAGTCCAGTAACCAATCTTTGATCTTTCGTACGGTGGGGCACACGGAAGGGGCGATGGCTTACATAGTGTCAGCGTTCGCCGCTAGAACCGCTAAGTTGGAAATTTTCAATTAATTTTATAATTTTTAGTTATAAAATTAACTTTTTAATTATAAAATTAAACTGTCATAACCTAACCTAACCAACCAAACTCTGTGACAAAAAGCTAGTGTTTCCGACGGGTTTCGAACTCGAGACATCCTGAACACTAGTCTATCACTGCGCTATCAACTATGCCACGAACGCCGCTTCAATCACATCACATCGTCTCGTTACGGTAATCGTGTTGCCTCAAGAGAAGATATTATTGGCCACTAGATATGACGTCATCACGCCTTAGCCATCGTCCCTCCCGTATGCCCATCCGATCTTCGGTGAATACCAGGGCTACAGATATACAAGGGCTAGGCCACGCGAGCTCAGAAAGTGATGCCAGGGGCCCATTTCATAATAAAGTACAAACTAATATTATTAGTAAATCAGCTGATCGCCCAATGCAAATCTAATGAAAATTACAAATTACAAGTTGTAACTTGTAGTTTATTATGAAATGGGCCCCAGGTGGCTCCCCACCACTCCGCCGCTGTGACGTCACAGCGGTACCTCGGGCTCCCGGTACCGTATAGCTTTGACTATGTGACCGCTGGTATTGCCACACATTTGGTGTCGAATAAGCACTATGTTGCAAATTTTGTATTAGATATTACTGTATTTAATAAAAGTAATTGATTTTTAAATAGGATTACGTATAATACTAATTCTAATAAATAAAGAATGTAACTTTAGTAGATATAGGATGGGAGTGGACTGTAAAGCGATGGTTAAGAATACTGTACTTATTGATCCGATACATTAAGTTATGGTGTAATAACTGTTTTATCTATTTATTCATAACTTTAAGAATTCATTGCGGTTATATAAAATACATTGAAGTTGTATACAAATATATTATACTGAGTATTTTGTAACTTTTGCAGGAAGGAAAAGAATTTAAATTTATCTATTGCATTTTAGCGAATTTCCCTATAGGGAAGTAGCTATTACCGTAGGTAGCACGGTAAGACCTAGGCCAGGGACCGATTTACTTTTTCATTTTGATGTCCCCAGAGGCCAAAAACACCATTCGTTCAAATTTTTATATATGTATATATATATATATATATATATAGGCCCTATACGTCCATGAACGCGATAGCTTGAGTAATTTTTGTCCGATTTTGATGAAATTTGGTTTAAAGGTGAAAGGCAGGATAAACTTGAATGAGTTCGCGAACCAGCATGATCGGACCATGGGAACGGGGTTTTACGGGGGGGGGGGGGGGGGTTTATGGGGTAAAAAATTGTTTTTCTAATTTTTGACCCTCAAAACACAAAATTTCCTAATTTCTCTCTAGACCTTTTTAAAGAGCTTAAAAACAAATAATTTAGTATATCAAAGTGTTTTTATGAGATTATTGGTAACGGAGAAAATTACAAAAATTGTAAATTTAAAATTCCCATGCTATTCTTATGGAGAATGTTGTAAAATGTTGTAGTTTGCTTGTTTTTGTTTATGAATATATTTTGATCAAACTTATTTCATATTAAGCTATTAATATTTTACTAAAAAATACAGTTTATTAGTTTCCTTGTAGCAGCAAACCTAGGTACTCATTAAAGCTAATGTTATTTAAATAGGTTTAGTTGAAAATCAATTCAGACAAATGGAAATTTGCTTAGTCGGCAGGTTTGCTGCGGCGGGGGTATTATTATACATATTTCAATACATTAAAATAAAGTTGTCTGACTAACTAACCTTAATCTCTGTTGACCAACTAGTTCAACAAGTCGAGTTTTTGTGTGATTTTACTTTATCAGTTTACATCATGATTATAAGTTATAAATTTGTAAATGTTTGGTTTGGGTATTATTTATTCTACTGCCTTGTCTGAAATGCAACATTACTTTTATAAACTTGAGACACTATTTTTAGCCGGTTTTTGTGAACTTTATTGACTGTTTACCAACAACGAATGTCGCAGGTGTGGTTTTATCATCATATTTATTAGTTGTAAATTTGTACACATTTAGTTTGTAGACTGTTTTATGTGGATATACGTACTAAATTTGTGGTCTGGGACATCACATTTAGCCCGCGTTTGATACATTTCGTCCGTCATAATAAACTAAACGGTCATAATAAACTAAACGATCGCTACATGAAAAAGGCACATAGCAGCATTTTATAGAAAAAAACTATAAAATATTTATTTATTTATATTTGCTTTAATAACCGTATATATTCATGTAGGGGAATAAGTTTACTTTCATGTTATATAGTTGGTATGTGGGTTTTATGTGTTTGAAAAATAATATTCATGTGTCAATAACAAAATGTTTTTATAAAAAAATTTAAACATTCATTAAAAGTCATAAATCTTTATTCAAATTTTCCATGAACAACTCTTACTTCGTTTGATCTCCAATATTATTGCATTTACAAAAATGTATACTTTTACTTTATCTCTTGATAATACATTTATTTGGTTTTTGTTTGAAATTTGTTGTGCAAAATCGTGAAACTTCTAATTTTATTGTTTTTGGACCATAACTTTGTACAAATAAATGGTTATCATGCGTTTCGTCATTGACATAGATTTTATCATGGTAGAAAATCTAACTAATAATCAATAAATTTGCAATGAAATGTACCTTGCAGTGAACAACTGCGCAAACTAGAATATCCTTAATTGAATATGGGTAAATATGGTTTCATGAAAGGTGTAAATAAAACATAAATAATGTAAAATGTTGGGAAATAAAAAGCATAATTTATTCACACCATAAGCACCCAGAGGCTTACAAATGTGATGAATACTAAACATATTATATACACCACCATGTACAATATGTTCCATGATATTAACAAATAATATTACATAACAAACAAAGAATTAATACTGGTAAAGCTTTGGTGTAAGCTAAAGGATTAGTAAATGAAGAATAGCAAGACGTAAAACAATTAACGGTACAACAACCTAGGACTGGGGAAGGGTGCTGATATTGACAAGTTATTCAAAGGAACTTTCAAAATCAATAAATACAATTTATTTAAACAATAACCAAATTAATATAATTTGTTTTACAATAAATTCTTCATTTGTGTTTGATTAATTTTGAAATCGGTACTAGCAAACCAACAACATACACTAATACACTACTGTAATACTTAAGAATATGTCGTTTCGAGTATTTAAGCTTAGTTAAACATTAAATTACACCTCAATTATATTATGACTATAATCGGTTTAGATTCCTTGAACATTATGTACTTGTAACAATAATTTAACAACTTTCACTGGAGGAAGATTCGAGTAAGAACAAGTTTCCACAACTTGCAGTTTTGCTAATGTAGTGCTCTTCTTGGCATGGTGCTCTGCCTCATGACATCCGTATGCCTTCTAGTATGATTGTTACTACAGTCAGTGGCTTTACAATCCTAAGAAGATTATCCTGGGATCCTCCACAGCCGCCTTGATCTTGCGCAGGAAGGTCACAGCCTCACGTCCGTCAATCAACCGGTGATCGTATGTCAGCGCAATGTACATCATAGGTCGAATCACCACCTACCAGAAAATAACCATCATTTAACACAAAACTACAGGAAATCTTAAATGTGCAATACCAGTGAAATATACAAAGATGATAGCCATATTAAAGACATGCACCTGATTGGTTGATTTTAAGATTTTGAGTTTTACTGTTTGGTTATAAAAAAGAGAAGCTAGGCTACTGTTTATAGTAATTAAATACCAAGAATCTATATAAATAAAATTAAGAGTTTTATCTGTACATTGCTCAGAATTATACATTTTTAGGTTATTTTTAAGTTTTTTTACATTAAAGAAGCAGAAACAAGTCTTATCTCTATTTCTGTCTTTCTGTCTGTCTGTAACACTCAAGATGGCATTTTACGCTATCTTCTCCATGAAAACGAGAGTACCTATCAAGATCCAAATCATTTTAATGTATTCACTGGATTGGCGAGAGTGTCTTTAGCCATTAAAATTTGGCCTCACTACTTTGTAAATAAAATTACGGACGTTCAAAAATGCAGTTTTGTACAATTTTTGTCAAATTTTCGTTCAATTTTTATCACATAATCATCTATGAAATAACAAACAGCTGTTCGGATCAAGATTATATTTTCTAGCTGTTACTGATATGTTTACTAAGGTTACAAATACCGCAACCATTTCTGAACACATTTTGAAAGCAAATCCCAACCAAGTGATACTAAAAGAGTTTTTCTTACATAACGGATTTAATTAATCGCAAGTGCAATATTATAGTGTAACTGTAAATGAAATTAAATAACTAGGCATCATCCAGGTCAGGAACCAGAAATTCTTTGTGTATAAAATTGTTCTTGAGTTTTGATAACTAGAAAGAAGACCTTGAATCAGTGTTGTATAGGGCTGGGACACTTAATGATCGTCGTCAATAGCTTACAAACAAGGTTTCCACTTATTGACGGCGCTTCAATGACAGTTGTGTAAAGTGTAAAGTAAAAAATCACAACTGCAGTGGGTGATTGTAACAGAGGTTTACGGATGATGCTAAACTCGCTTTACCAATCTGTCACTTTCTGTTCCTACTCACCGTGTGATGCAATCGCTGGACCATACAGCCAATAGGCCCATAGCCCATCTCTTTGTACGTACGCCTACCTATTTATTCAAAACAACCTTTTCGACGACGATCCTTGATACCATACTTTTCCATAGAATACATGGCCTACCTACTTAAGAAATAAAATTACAAATGTCCAAAAACCCAACATTGTGTGATTTTTGTCACATTTCCTTCTAATGTTAATAGATATACCAATCATTGTTTTGAGATTACGTAATCTATTAAATAACAAAAAGTTGTTTGGATAAGGTTGTTTTTTTTTTAAACTGACACTGATAAGTTTACATTAAAAGTTATAACTTTTTACGAGAAAGTCCAAAACCAAGAGATCAATAACCTCGGGACTAGATTAATGCAGCTAATTGGTCAGATATACTATACCAATACCAACAATAATCAATGCTAGAATATTTTGTCTGTTGTTGGATAACTTTGCCGTTAGTCCGTATTAGTTCTTAACTGTAAACGTTGGTTTTTGGTACTGGTTCTTTTCCTTAGAACCGTTGGTAGCAGCAAGAATTATTTTTAGGTACCAACATATTACTGTAATTTACAAATTAGTTACGGTATCTTTGGTGTTCCACCTTATTTATTAGAACCCTATTCAATTTAATTGATGTCTTAACTGTATAAGTTTTGCTTTTACTGTATGGATTCCAAAATCTTATCTTACCCGGTATGCTAAGAAAATGATAACCCATTTCAGAAAAACATTTGTTGAGCAAACCATCATAAATTTTGTACGCCTTTACGTTTTCTATATATCAATAGTTTGTGGCATAATTTGGTAATTTTTATTCTAAATTACCAATCTAAAACGTCTATGTACTTAATTTCATATAGTAAGCTGTCATTTCGACAGCATTTCGGGTCATCTACGGTCTAAGCAAATATATATTGTTATGATAAAATTTGATGACATTAACAAAGATTTCAAATACTAATTTTATATGTACTTTGTTATGCTTAAAGCGTAGCAAATTCATTAATTAAATTCTGTACTTTTTGTGTGTTTGTCTGTTGGTAACACATTAATGTCCTTATTTCTGTGTTTCACGGAATGGACAAGAGCACCTTTGATAATGAAAATGTCAACCGGAATAAAGTGTTAACTGGTTGGGGTAGTACTTTAAATACAATACCCAACACACAACACCCATTGTGGAAAGTAACTTTCAATTATAGGCCTACCTTAGGGCTATGCCTCGTGGATCTATAAAGAATTTTTTAAGTTAAATCATTGGATTTAACATATGGACCAACACGATCTGGGTGACATTTAATTGCGAAGCATTTATTTTGGCTCAAACTGTCGGATACTGTATTTGCAAAGGTTTATATTTACGTTTTGCCAGCATATCTACAAATATGCAAACCAACTGCTGTTCTTAATATAAGAAGGTTTTAACTGACTACTATGAGATCCCCGTGCGTAGAACGGGCACACAGCTAGTCATATAGTAAATGACAAAGTGCCCTAAGCTTTGAATTGTCTTGTCTGGTCTATATTGCAGTATAGGTCCAATATACCTGTCCTTTGATGGCGACAGGTCGCTCAAAGGTGGCGTGCATGCCCAGGATGGCGGACTGAGGAGGGTTGATGATGGGAGTGCCCATGAGGGAGCCAAACACTCCTCCATTGCTGATGGTGAAGGTTCCTCCGTCCATGTCTTCCACTGCCAACTGTCCCTTGCGAGCCTTCTCTCCTAGAGCCGCAATACCCTTCTCTATGTCAGCATAGTTCATGCCCTCCACATTACGCAGCACAGGCACCAACAAACCCTATGCACAAACAATTAGTAAAAAACAACAAAAATGTTTTTCTTCCAATGAATTATTTGGTTTATTTGTGAGCCAAAACTTAGATCTGTTTAGACATTATCATCTTTACGAGTTTAAGAAAATAAAAGGAAATGTTTTCAACAAATAACTTGCCATTGCAATAACTACTATTTTGAAATAATGGATCCTCAGGGTGCTCAGTAAGACATGACAAATAGAACAAAAGACATTGTTAAATACAAGCCCGTTGACAAGTGTAATTGGATTTGGGAGCCTACATTACCAATAGTCAGTTTTAAAATCCAAGTCCAGGTTTTATAAATTTAATACAATATAGAATCTATTCCCATACAGTACAGCACTAAATGTTTAGCCAATTCTAAAACTTGTATTTAATTTTCTCAAAAGCTGTTAACTCCAAAATTACAGCAAAATCTCCTTTGCCAGTAGCAACATCAGTAGGCATCTTTTGCAGTCACCGTGCCATTGTTGTTATTTACTGTGATTGAAATTTTGTTATGACAAGAAAAAAAATCACCAGAACACCGTTTATGGATAACATGATGGGTAGCCTCTGGACCATACAGCAACAATAATAATGGTTTAATTTAATTCTCTCCAAAAGGGCTACTGACGTTCTTCAGGTCCATACAAAACATACATTTACAATTCAGACTTTTTCCTGCTCATCGAAATACATGTATAATTCACGGTTTTGCCATTGGCCTGATACTGAGTTTATACTAATTGTTGAGCTGCAGTTTACTTACTTTGGGAGTGGCCACAGCTACAGAGATGTCAACGTAGTCCCTGTAGACAATTTCATTGCCGTCAATGACAGCGTTGACCACCGGCTGGTCTGTCAGAGCGTATGCAGCAGCCTTTACAAACGCCGACATGAAGCCTAGCTTCAACCCGTACTTCTTCTGAAACGCCTCTTGATGTTGCTTACGGAATTCAATGATGTTTCTGTTACGACAAGTAAACATAAGTTGTTCACAATGGAGAACCAAATATTGAGCTGTCATCCTATTTTCTATTTTATATATTATTCAAAATCAACTTACAATACAATGTAAGCTCCAAACTGTTCTGAACCCACTGATACATGCAATCAGAATAAAATCAATGCTTTAAAATTAAAGAACGCGCCCTGCAAACGTAGCATTTGAAGTGAAAACTACAAGCGTCGCATTTTGGCGACATTGGTTTCAAGCGTGTGTTTGCATGTGAATTGTGAAGTATCCCATTTGTTCCTAGGTACTTGACTAATGCGTGTTTCGCAAACGCGATGTCTAACGCCCTCATGTGAACAGGGTGTAAGGTAAAAAGGAGAATAACTGGTGTTGTTCCTAGCCCTATTAAACTCACTAGTGCCGTCATCTTCAATCCAAGCCAGACACCACTCATTTAAGGTGGGCCATCCCTCTGGCAAAGCCACAAATTAGTAAACTTAATTTTGATCAAAACTACCAAAGCCCCAATGGATTAGCAGCATGGCTACCTCACTGAAAAATGTGCTGACAAGCTACATGGTGTTAATGGGTCAACAAAACTTAAAAGGTAGATATAAATATGGGTACAAAAATTGTGTAAATTATGATGAAATTAAGAACTGAACCTCACACTCAGAATATTTGGTCAGAAAACCCCTCAATCCTAGATAAAAAAAAAACACTACAACTGTTACTTACGTCATGTCAAGTTCGTTGAAGGTGGTGAGCATGGCATTGACATTCTGTGCCTCCTTGAGCCGCTGAGCAATGCGGATCCTCATACGGTTCATCTTGACCCTCTGCTCGGACCGGGTGCCGCTGATCTCTGACGTGGGATCAGAGGGTGGCAGTTTGACAGTGGCTGCCTCGATGGCCTGAGCGTGGCGGATAGCAGCTACAGGGATGGAGGACATGGGAGCAGCTGGTGGTGGTGGTGTAGGTTTGGGGGGCGGTGGTGGAGGTGGAGGTGGAGGAGCAGCTGCTGATGGAGTGGCGGGTGGGGGTGGGGGAGGAGGGGGAGGTGCTGCGGCCTCTGCTGCTGCTGGCTTTGGAGCATCGGCTTTCTTTGCTCCTCCGGCACCTGCAATCAAATTATAGAAACAATTCAACTTAAATTGTTAAGGAAATTGACAAGAAAGCAAGCTTACCTTCAAATAAGTCCATAGAGACACATAAAATAAACATCACAAAAGTAGAAATTTTCCACTGGAGGTGAACTGAACACAAAAATTTCTACTTTTGTCATGTTATGTGTCTCTATGGACTTATTTAAAGGTAAGCCTGCTTTCCTGTCAATTTCCTTAATAATTCCTGGCAATAGCCCTATCCTTTTATCAGATAACCTTCAACTTAAATTGGCCCTTTAGTTACCTGGATTACCTAAGTGTTTAGTACAGAAGACTATCACAGATCCAAATCTTAAAAAAATATACTTTAAGGGTCTGATCAAAGGTCAAAAGGTCTGATTGAAGAGGGATTGATCAAATTATTATATTAGAAATTAACTATACTTTTAATAACAAATTTTATGAACTCTGTCTATTCTGTCCTTGCTTCCATTGATGTGAATATGACAGAGTTTTGTTAGTGTGTAATGTTCATTACAGAAGTAACGTACAGTGTGTCTAGTTACCATTATAAAATTCAAGACTAATTCCAGACTTTTCAAGACTAATTCCAAATTTTTCAAGACTAGTTTTTCAACAATTAGTGGGTGTTGATACCAAAATGTATCGATTCTCGATATTTGATACCGATACCAATTTTTATAGCTTAACCAAATTTTCTAAATAATACTACACCAACCCCTGTCTTTGTCATAAAGTAGTATTATGATAATGAGGTGTTTTCAAGTAAAGAAATAATGCAGCAATAAAAAATTCTAACTAGCTAATTTGGTTTTTTTTATCATGAAATCTTCCGCGTACCGACGTTTAGACATCATCATTGACTGCAGCGGTTACAGAAACGTAATCGTTGTCGTCCGCGATCACGGCAAAAACATGAATATTTCCCGCGGCCTTGTAGACATCAATGACATCATTGTCATCTCCCGCGGTCACGGAAACGTCATCGTCATCTCCCACGGTCATGGAAACGTCATCGTCATCTCCCGCGGTCACGGAAACGTCATCGTCATCTCCCGCGGTCACGGAAACGTCATCGTCATCTCCCGCGGTCATGGAAACGTCATCGTCATCTCCCGCGGTCACGGAAACGTCATCGTCATCTCCCGCGGTCACGGAAACGTCATCGTCATCTCCCGCGGTCACGGAAACGTCATCGTCATCTCCCGCGGTCACGGAAACGTCATCGTCATCTCCCGCCGCCACGGAAACGTCATCGTCATCTCCCGCGGTCACGGAAACGTAATAGTCGTCCACGATCGTGCCAAAATCATGAACAATTCCTGCGGCCAAGCAGATTTCATCGTCATCTCCCGCGGTCACGGAAACGTAATAGTCGTCGTCCACAATCGTGCCAAAATCATAAACAATTCCTGCGGCCAAGCAGATTTCATCGTCGTCTCCCGTGGTCACGGAAACGTCATCGTCATCGTCCGCGATCGCGGCCAAATCATGAACATTTCCTGCGGCTGTTTAGACATCACCGTTATCTCCCGTGGTCACGGAAACGTTATCGTCGTCGTCCGCAATCACGGCAAAATCATGAACATTTCCCGCGCCCGTGTAGACATCATCATCATTGACTTTCGTGGTTACGTAACGCAAGACGACGATCGCGGCAAAATCATGAAAATTCCCGACTTTGAAATCAAATTTAAGAATAAATCCCGACTTTTCAAGACCATTTTGAAATTCAATACTAATTCCCGACTTTCCCGATTTTCCCGACTACTAGACACCCTGTATTACTATTACTGAATCATATATATTGATGTGCCAGTGTTGAACTGTTGTACAATATCTGTTGTGGCACAAAAAGTAACCTACTATGTGTCATTTACTCTCCTACTCTTGGTGGCCAGGCCATACAGACGATCTGTGATTAGTGATTATAGATCATGATTGAATATTAGAAGTTTTGATTAGACCTTCGGATATTAGCTGTTGGCATTTAAAAAACATTTTAGGTAGCTCAATACTACAATCTCGGTAATTCATAATTTTTACATACTTATATAGCCTATGTTTTTTATAAATTTTACTTTATTTCAAAGATTTTTACACCATAGGTTTAAATATAACGGTTCAATCTAAATACTGTTCAAAAAATATATATATTTTGTGTCCATTAGGCCTAAATAAGTTTTTAGTTAAGTTTACCTAGTTTAATCTTAAAAAGTTTTTGTCCAGCCTTGACGCTGGTTCCATCTTCTACGTAACGCTCTTCGATGACACCAGCTCCAGGTGCTGGCACTGGAACTGACGTCTGTAACAAGTTGTTTCATCTCTCAACCTGATTATATGTGATGGTAACAAAATTACATTTCACATTTAACAGGCGTAGGCCTCATCCAAGTCTTAATACACCATATTATTAATTGTAAATGTCAAAATTACCCTATTTTTACAAAATAATTGAAAAAAATCTTGAAACTACCAGTGCAGGGATGAATCAAGATGTAAACACTACATTAGTTTTATAAAATTATTCATACAAAATTATTTTATTAAGCTTTGTGCTTCGATAGGGCATGAGCAAATTAGCATCTATGTGAAACAGGTATACTTGCATGATGTCAAATTGCTGACTATTTTATGAGAAAAAATGTTCAGATTAAATTTTTAACGATCATTTATTTTTCAATCCCTGTTATCAACTCTCAATGCATTTGGATATGAGTAGAAGAATTACAATATGAAACTTTGAATACTGAAAAAATTAATGGTTTCCTGATTCAGGATTTGGAGGTTATTGGATTTTTATTCTGTTGGAGGAAAAGATTCAATTTTTTAAATTCTTTTACCTACAATCGTTTTTAAAGTAGCCGTTTCAGTTCAGTTCTTAGAATTGCAAAATTTCCCATATTAGCATTGTTTACTTTCATAACAGCATAGTTTTACTCATAACAACGCGGGTAACGGACCAATGAGGTTCAAGGATTGAGAGAGAAGAAGTAAAATTGTATTGATTCCAACTTAAACTAATCATCTATTCAGGCCAATTTAATTGTTGAGTGGTGCAATTAGTGTTTGCTACAATGTTCGTTGCATCACTATCAGTGGCAATGAAAGGTTATAAGTGAAAATGTAACCTCTCTTGGAAATTATGAGTACTGTAGTGATTTTTAGAAATTAAAACACTGTTAAAAGAGAGCACAAACAAACCTTTTCTGAAGCAATAGAATAAACTGTAGTTACACAATACAACTTTTTGACAGTCGTGAAGTTTACATTTAAGTCATGTCTTTAAAATTTAATAGTAAACAATAGTGTGAGCACAATAAAGCTTACATAAATGAAGAGTTTTACCTTATCGGTTTCGATCTCACAAACAACTTCATCTTCAACCACTGAGTCTCCAACCGCTGAAACAGCATCACATCATCAATGCCACTTTGCACACAGACATCTATAATAATGATGAAAGAGGTTTATATACAATAGGGTATCTGATTTTATCCCTCGGGAAAGTATATTTCACTCATACAGAATTGAAATGTGAATACAGTACACTCTTGATTATCAAAGCCCTCGGGTTACCCAAGGTCGTTTTAGGCCTGTGTTTTTTTTTTTTTTTTTTTTTTTGCAAATTTGGTGATTTGTTCAAATTAGTACCTGAATTTATCATTAAAAGTATTATTTTAAATATATTCCGCGATCTCGGAAGACAATGATGATGTATCAAGAAAAAAAATCTTATCAACATAGTTTATCTATTCAAGTTCAGGATTTAATTCTTGCACTTGATAAAACATCATTTCTTACAATGAGAAGCGAGCAAACACACAAGAAAATAGTTGGTGCAAAAGATTTTTTTGTGAAGAGGTGTGGAATAATTGCTCATCTTTAACTTGGACTCAATATGGTACAGTACTTATAAATCCCGTGCCAAATATAGGTTCCTCTTGCAATACCAGTTATTTGTGGACTCTGGTTACAAGTACTTTGTCCAGTTGTTTTGCTAGAAGATTTATGTTATTTATAAGGTAGAAATTCACATTGGCAACTGTGATAATGGTCTTACCCTTCTCCCACCTCACATCTCCCTCTTGAACTGACTCAGCGAATGGAGGAACAGTCACGACTCGTTCTTCAACTACAACAATTACAGTATAATCAATGAGAAAACTAGCAGAGATTAAAGACAAGAGATTAGCTCTCAGATGATAAATATTAGGATTTTCGATAAATCTAAAAATTATTATTACATTATCAATACAGTGGAACCTTGATAAGAAGACCCTCGATAACAAGTCACCCTTGATAAAAAGTGTAATTTTCAAATCCCCTTGAAATGATTTTACCCCCAATTACATGTTATTACACCTAGTATGACCTTGATAACAAGTTTTATTTTACAATCCCCATAAGAGTCTTGTTATCAAGGTTCTACTGTATTAGGATGTTTAATGAATCTAAAAATATCATGTTTTCATTACCACCTATTGTTTTCTTTTCTTTTTTCAAATAAAATTATCAAATACATTGGAATGAGAATAAATATGCCAAATTTGTTCAAAATATTACAAAAAACTATTATTACTATAAAAACTATTGATCCTGGAAACATCAAAATAAAAAAGTAAATCAGTCCGGGGCCCTGCCACCTACGGTTATAGCTACTTCACTAGGCCTATAGGGAAATTATCTACACTTTAAGTATTATTCTCGCTATTCAGATTAGAAGTACAAACACTTCAGTATAGGCCTACTACATGATTATTTCACAAATTTTTCTTACTGAAATTTTAAAAGTACTGAAAACACTTAATTGTCTCCCATGTTATCCAGATGCTTATTTTTATTAAAATTTGTTTACTATACAATTATAATATGACAAAACATAATTGTCTAGTTACAAACTAAAAAGAATAAATTTTAAAATGGTACACAATATTTTTTTATTTAATTAAATACCATTTAAGGTGCCTCAGTCCAGACAAAATATATCAAGTTATCATCTTGAGGACCAAAGCTACTTGGTTGGCTGATAAGCAAATGCAGCAGTTTGATAATGTACATGTTGTATCTAACTATAAATTGTGAACTTTGCCATTTGAAGATTGATTAAGTTTTTTTTTTTTTTGCATAACAATATTTATCTGCTAGTGATAGAGATGTTTTGTAGATCAGATTTTCAATAGTCGATAGAGTTGATTCTCAAACAGTATAAAATATTGAGTTGTTTAATTCATTGGTTTATCATGACTTAAATATTGTTAACAACAATTATTAGAAAGTGGGAGTGGGTCTGATGGCAATACATTTCCCCAAAATTAGTTATAAGAGTCACAAAATGTTTTTACAAGTAACCCCACTAACGCGACACACGGTAACTCGACAGTCTATCCCAGTTTGTATCTTTTTCAAAAGAGAGGTTTTCTTTGTTAGTTTTTACCAATAACCAATATACCATAGCCTACATAAATAACAGTTATACAAATTATTACTCACGCAGTACAGCTGAAGATCTGAAATATCTTTCATTTTTTAGATGCCGACCCTCATTATGAAATCTGGAAAAAATATTTATGTTAGTGGATATAAAAATACCCTTTTTCTACAAATGTAACTAAAATTACTTACTCTATCCAACTGATATTCATTGTAATTCACACAAAAATGGAAGGGCTGAGAGCAAGCTGGGGATGGTTCCAAATATACAGGGTGTCCCAGAACTCTCTACCAATATTTTAGGGCATTGTTCCTGGGTAAGAAACATATCTAAATATCATATTTAAATTGTCCGGAAGTCCTTAGTTACTCAGATAGCCGCCATTTTGTTTTTTTTTTCACTTATAAATTTTTTTCTGAAAATTGGTTAAACATTTATGAAACTTTGCACAAACATTTATGACAACTAGACAAAGCTACAAAAAAATTATGACGATTTTTCAAATTCATAAAACAAAATGGCGGCTGTTTAAAATTTTGTTTCTTAAATTACTCGAAAACCGTTGATTTTACCAAAATTTTACAAGAATAACTTTTTTAAGGCAATTTTATTACAAATCGATCGACACCTTAATCTTTAAGATCGGACGAGTATTAACTGAGATATGGCAGTTTTAGTGATACGTGACCGCTTTCAGCATGCGCTGCAACTAATATCCGGCGGTTGCTAAGTAATAACTAATATCGAGCAATTGCTAAGTATTAAAGGTGTTAAAACGAATAACAGTCATAGGTTCTGTTGCCTTTAAAAGATTCAACTCAAAGATTTTGGAAATACTCATGATGTAGGTACATAACAGATCGATATAATCACAATTTCTTGTAAATATCTTATAATTTTTTTAAAAGCTGATCTTGTTTTTTAGTGTCTTCTACAAATAGCCTACTCATAGCCGCATTAGGTTACCCATAATAACATTATAAATATAAAAAAACATTTCTATTTCTTCTCCTTGGTGGTGTTCTATGACCTTCCTATGTTTCCATAGTTTGCAAATCGGCTCTTTCAATGATTAATAAGAAATGCAGCACAGTGTTATTTCAGTTTTCTTTTTAAGATATCAATTTATCCAGGCTCTCTCATTTTTTTCCATTGTAATATTTACACCAACCCAAATTCAAATAGTAAACATTTCATTTCAACCAAGTCAGTAAATGTTTGTAGCAAGCTGTTAAATTAGCAAACTTATTGACGGTTTACAACATATGTTCTTCTTCTCACTTTTAATTTCTGACAACAGCTGGAGTTTCATAACAATTTTTGTTTCCCATGTTAATCTTATGGAGAAATCAGGGCCTCACTCTCTAATTATTTCCCTAAAAAGAAAGTTTCCTGCACAACTTCACGTTACGCTCTTTCCAATGAGACCAAAAAAATGTCAATCGGTTCAGTAGTTTCGGAGGAGTAATTGTCACAAAAATCCTGATTGCGTATTAAATAAGTACTAGTGTACATGTTGCTCGAAATCGAGCAATTTCAAATAAGTACATGAGTTGAGGAGTCACAAATAAACAAATGACATGTTTAAAAACTAATAACAAATTTCCGATGAATTTAAAAGAGTGAACTAAAAGATTATTAACTGATAAAATTACTCACAATTTACATAACAGTCCTATTCCAGTTTAAAGGGTTAATGTTTAACTATCACACTGTCCATGGACGGGAAAAGGTAAGCTTACAATTTAAGTCAAAGTAAAAAGGCTGTTAGCTTTTGTAATGTACCGTAGGCCTACCTACCTAAGTTATTTAGCCAATTTGTAGGTGTAGGGTGTAGGCTACTTTAAACTCTACAGAACAGAGTTAGGCAAAAACTGGCAGAACTCTGAAATGGAGTCATTTATCATAGACATACTCATATGCCAAATCCTTAAAATAAAAATTCAATAATTAATAACTTATATCATTAAACACAAACCAACATCCAAAACTATACACATTTTTAATACAACATAGATAATTTACACATTGACTGTTTACAATTAACAACATGTGTTCTTCTTCAGGCATTTGACAGTTCTGGTTGTTTACATTTAAATGTCAAAGCAAATGTAATATTTAATTTCTGACAACAGCTGGAGTTTCAAAACAATGTTTGTTTCCCATGTTAATCTTATGGAGAAATACGAAACTTTAAAGGGCTCCATGGCCTCACTCTCTAATTATTTACCTAAACAGAAAGTTTCCTGCACAACTTCACGTTACGCTCTTTCCAATGACACCAAAAACATGAGGATCGGTTCAGTAGTTTCGGAGGAGTAATTGTCACAAAAAATCTGCTTGCGTATTAAATAAGTACTAGTGGTCGTCCTGTGGTCGAAAATCGACCAAAAAATATTAATGTACAGACTTCTCTATTTTCTCCCAACACTGTAAATAAAACATGTGATTGGAATTTCTTCCCTTTGTTTTGATTTTCTGTTTACATTTTGTTGTTATTTCGTCACCATCATGGCAACCCATATGGTCCATGTTAATTTTTTGAAGTTTTCAAATTCATTTTTTGTGCTTATTTGTTAGCCTATTTTAATTTTTAAAGGCATTCTGCACATCTACAGTAAAATATCTTTCCAACAGTATGCGTAGATGTTCCCTGCGATGCACACGAGCTGAGAAAAAAGGTTTTAAAGAAACATGCTTGCCTATTAATATATAGATAGATAGATATAGATAGATAGAACCAACTTGTGTAGTTGAAACAGCTGACAAAATTCTTGAATACTCATAAGGTTAACATGGGAAACTCCAGAGCCACTGGGGCGAAGCCCGAAAGAATTTTTGAGATAAGAATGCATCTAGGCCTATAGGTTAATCGGGAATGTGAGCTATCATAACACCAAATTTCAGCCCAATCAGACCAGTATTTTTCACGTTTACTTGTCACAAACATCCATCTATAGAAACTTTCTCACTTATAATATTAGTGGATTTGTCTTAGCAATTAGGCTACCTTTCAAGGCAGTGTTCCTCTACTTTAGAAACACATAGATGGTAACTGTGCTTTGACACTCTGCGGTACCCTAAACATAGATTATCTCTTTTGGAAAAGGTTCCATATTACATGGCACTAAAACTATTTAATCACCTTCCACCGGAGATAAGCATAGGCTACTACTACAGTTTGCTTCAGAACAGAAAAATGTCGATAAAAACATTAAGTATCTCATAAAACAGCATAAAATCATAGTAAGTTACTTAGTCTTAAAGGTAATAACAACAGTCGTAAAATAAGATAAAGATAACAATGGATGACGTAAAACACTGCATATTGTTTCTGTTTGTTCTTTGGTTTCTCTTCATACACACATTCAACAAGTTGCTATGGTTACTCTTCACCCAATCACAAACTGTTGTGACATAGCAAGCCCACAGGACTGCAGACGATTGTCAGTGCAAGCAATAGCTTGACCTTGAAGCTAATGGTGGCTATTTCTTTGTTTTCTTTTGTTTTCTATGGCCAGAAACTAAACATTCAAGTTGAATCCTGTCAAAGGTCATTTGCCCGTGACGAGGTGACTTGTCACCCTGAGACCGGACCATCCGGCGGCCGATCCAACCGAAGCCGAACTAGAGGGAGTCTACTGTAATGTAATGTACTTAGGAAAGTGTTGCAATTCACTCAGTTTGTTATGCAAATATGTTTCTGTATTTTAGTTGTCATTGTAAAATCTAAAATACACTAAAATTGGTTTATACTGTACTTTAGTAAAACCTTAAGGTAAACTAAAGATTTCTTATCAATTAATTCAGACCCACTGTTATTTGCTTTCAGAAAACCTACTGAAACCTGAAACGCAAGACTTAAACATTAAAACATTTTATAAGATGAAAACACTTTAATTAAAAAAAAAACCAAACGACCAAATAAAAAACCAAACGATCAATCTTAACGATCAATCGTTCAAGTCTGAACTTGCTCGGTGTTAATCCCCAGATAGAAAGCAAGTAGAAGGTCAGACGCTAGGTTGCATATCCCAAGAAGTAGGTTATGCCGAGGTCAGTTATGAGGGGTTTTACTGTACTTAATTTAACTAGTCAGTTTTTGCTAAGGACAAACTAAAGTTATAGCTTAATCATAGTTGCTATAATTTGATTAAATGCTACAATTTTGTAAATGTGTTATCTTATATAAGTAAACATATAACAGTAGCAAGGCTATAGAAAGGTTAAATGAAATACATTATTATATTAAATAATTAACATGAGACCATAGTAAAGATACTGTAAAATCTAATTACCGATTCACAGGAGCTGACACATGCCGAAGCCAGAAGTGTGAGAATTCACCTGAAAAATGTTTGACTTTTGATACTTTGATGATAATCAGTATAGAGTAAACAAATACAAATTAGGATAAGTCTAATTTCCACTAGCTTTGATTAAGATAAGAGCAATATTCACACAAAATCCAATCTAACTGTAAATTTTATGGTGTTTTCTTGGCTTTAGGCCCCTTTTATTCAACGCGGTTGCCCGCAAGCAGACACCCGCCGCAGGCACCAATGTGTGACCTGCGATCAACCGCTGTCACGTGCGAGTGTAACAGTGCTGCCAACCCTGTATGGAATTTTAAGAGAAGACCATGGCAAATGTTTTAATTATTTTCGGATGTTGGTGCCATCGTTTGATGAACTTGCTTTGAAAGTTCGGCAGACCAGGACTATAAGACCTGAAATACTCCAAGGACTTGATTTTTCTTTCAATAGAAGAGATGCTAGCTCAGCAAACTGACACAATGCGCACATCCGAATGACTAGACCCCACGTGTAGTGAGTGACACTGGTGACTTGGGTTGGCAGGCAATTTGAGAGTGACGGCGGGCTCCCGTGTTGAATAAACGATCCCATATAACACAATGCATATACGAACCGCTACCCATCGGCGGTTTCTAACTGCAAGCGGGGGAATTTACAAACCTCCGCGGCTACCCGCAACTTCTGAAACCGCTCCTATTTGAATAAAAGCACCCATTTACGCAATGCATTTACAAAACCGCGGCGGGTGCCCGCGGGCAACCACAGTAAATAAAAGTGGCCTTAGCATTAGTCTTAAACATTGTTGATTAAAATATCTCTTAATTAGTCTTCATTAGGCCTATTGAGCTTGTCTGGAATCCCAGAATACCTGCTCCGAGTGAATAATCAAACCAGGACTCATCCCACAGCTGGAGTGATATGGAATCAGATCTAAGGTTGTGATTGAGATGGAAATATTTTATCATATAAAGGTTGTCTGCGTATAAAATGACCAGAAGAAAAGGGTGTTGCATGGCACAGAACTTATGCAAAGTTTATTGAATATCCATTCCACTTGGTGATAAATTCATGGAAGTAGCTAAGGTAGGTGTCTTTTGTAGCGCATGTTTTTCTCGAATTACTAATAGATGAATATAGGCTAGTATTAACAAAGGATTTACTATTCCTAGTAAATCTTTTTTTTATGTCATCAGTGCCTGTGGCATTTTCAATGAAGGAACAGTGTTAGGTTTTTAGGGTGGGGAAGCAGTCCAGACTCATCAATTTTTGGTGGAAATGTTGGGAATAAAACCCATCCCTCTCGTACTGAAGTCTGAGACTCTAGAACTGCAAGGACTAGCAACACAACAAAAACTTTGATTAGAGTACCCTTGACATGTATGGGCAGATACATGTCACTAGATGTTAATAGGTATTATTTTAATAGAATATTGAGGTATCATTTTAAGCTATACCTATTAATTTCTTCTTAATCAGGTTCTCGCAGACCTAAGTCTGAATTTATCGTTACAAATCTGATATTAGAGGAAGTGACAATTAATTTGCTGCATATAAAATAATGCGTTGCAAGTAACTAATATCCAATGTATATTGAAATGTGTGGGTTGGGCTGAAACTAAAATGGCTTAGGCCTAACTTAGATGGTTGTCTATTACTTATGTTGATGTGAAGTGATCTTACCTTGATGTAACCTTGCAACCAGCTGAACCTGGAAAATGTGATTTCTTTAGAAAACGATTTAAAAAATTTTTAACAGTTTAAAGTTATTTAAATCTAAACTGTTCTTAACTATTGCTCAAACCAAACTGTTTCAGCCAGTTGGTATGAAGCCAAAATTACTTGGCTCACAGCCCTTGCTCTCTCAAGGCTGGTTAGCTACTCTCATATTAATACAAATTCAACAAGATAATGGTTAAAAATCTGTTATAAGCTATTTGTAATTTTTTTTTATTCTTTAAAGTAAATTTACATCAACTAAAGCTATAAGGACTGTCCTTTAATTTAGCATTAATACGTTATGATTGGAATGGTGTACCAATTTTAAATGTAATACCCAATTGATACAGTAAATTGGTGTGATCTACACAGTCAAGCACACCAATTAATGAGGTGGTAGGTATGCTGATGGTGAATTAACTGGTGAGCTAAAAAGTAGGGTTAAGTTATATGACGACAATAGGATGATATCAAGGTCCATCAACTTAGAACTATTTCTGCTCCAAATTCATCCAGTTCTTGCCAAGTCCACAAGTAAAAAGGTCTTCTGTGGTCAGGTTTCCTTAACACAAGATTTTATTAGGTCTATACAACATTATCTGGTCAATTATTGACACGTTGTTTCTATGCTATTCTACTCTGCTTCCCCTTTTCTTTATTTAAAATACAAACATGATTTTGACACACAACAAGTTTTATTGTAGCCAGAGGAGTTTAATCATGGGATCCAGCACCCAGATTTCTTTCAATACTTTTTGCAGACTATCATATTGCACCCAACAAGTTTCTCCTCGCCATTCAGTCGTAAAATTCTCCAAAATGAGTGTCAAGCATACATCCGTGTGATTCAATCACAAAGCCTGTTATTTTTAAAGAAGGTCAAATTTCTCGTAGTGTTTTGAACATTTTAAAATTAATAAAAGGTTCAAGCGAATATGACAAGCATGACTAGCAATTAAAACGGTGTTGTTATGTTGTTGTAAATAGTTTTCAGTGCTATTTAATCATTTTTGAAACAATACATCAGCTCGCCTAATGTGATACGTATACATAAGTTTACACATGGTTTTCATAATTCCCTTAAAACCCTAATAAATCGCTATGTTAAAAATAGCTTTAAGGTTACAAATATTGAACCTGAATAACCTCCTTCAAAATTGGATTTTGACGCTTTTAGAATATATAATAATTAAACCTCTTTACAAGCTTTAATAACTTGAAGTTTACCTTTTCAAATCGAAGTTTGCATGATGTGCCTCAGTTAGTTTAAGATGTGAAAATCTATCTTCTTTGTTTTGTTAGTTCTGTTATGTTAGCCTGATAGTTATTGAGATTATTTTGTGAGCGTCGTACCGTACGTCATGTTGTCAGTTACAAGTGAATTTATTGACAAACAACAACAAAATAGTGACATGTTAAAGAAAAAAGTCTAATCATTTGCGGATGTGGAATTCTGTGATTTAGGGAAACTGGGAAATGTATGAGGTTGAAGGTGGATTGTTAGCCTATGCCAGGTTTACACAGTCATACGTCAGGAAACTTGGTAGTGTATCACGTTGAACCTAAAATATTACCGTTGCGATAAAAAAAAAAAATACAGTAGGCTATTTTGTATGCCTAAATAATTGCTACTGTATTTTTAATATTATATACTACCGTACCGGTATAAAAAAAGTAACTTCTTTGTTATTGTATTGTAGTTTTCTTATGTTCTGAACCTACATTTTTTATGTCAACTTGGTTTGTACTGTGCAAAAGTTTAGACTTATATTTATCCTAAACTAAGATTTCTGCATATTAAATACTGTCCTATTGGATCTGATGATGATTGGAGTGTCCAATCGAAATCGATCACCACTAACCATCTTTTGTATATTTACCGTCTTGTGAGTAACAGTATAAGCGTAAATATATGTTTTAAGTGTTAAGATGTATCTTATTTACTTTCCGTATATTAAATACTGAACGGTCTTATTATTGCTTACAGTTTACACTAAGCCTTCTCTTCGGTATGTAGAAATAGGTTGAGCTACACTTGTAAAAAAGTTTAGCGTGTAAAAGTTGAGTTATGAAGGTTGTGACAAACATCATTGTCAGAATTCCAACACCCGTCTCAGTATCTCAAATTTTCCGTATCACACCTTGGTAACTTGAACCTTGCTTACACCTTGAGTAAAATATTGCATCCACAAATAGAATAATTTAACAAAATCTTATGCTTTGGGCATCTACAAAATAAATTGTACTTAACGATTGAGATAGCTTTTACATGGGACAAACTGTAAACTTTGTTAAACGTTTCAAAAAACATGTCTCTGCATGGAGAAACAACAAACCGGAAAGATCAAATGTCACACAACACTTGTTACAAAAATGGCCACTCATTAGGGAAAATGGAAGAAAATGTATTTTAAAGAATTTTAAGAAGGAAATGTGATGAATGCTTGGGAAGAATTGTATATTTATAGGAAAAATTTTAAAATAGATATAAAATAATGAACAAGTGAATTTTGACTCACTTTAGTAGTACTTATAGAACATTCTCCTATAGTTTATATTCGAGGAAACTTAGTGACGTGATTTTTTCATTTAGGCTATAATCCTTGCCGTTTCACCCACTTTTTCGATGGTAGTGCTTTTTAATATTAGGCCTAATCGCATGGAATTCATAATTATCAATTTTCGTTCAACATCAAATCCCGCACAATTTTAAATACCGTACCTTGAATGTAGGCTATATGATTTAAAAAAATGTATGACATTTTTCCAATTTCCCGTGTTTATTTGACTTTTCCGAAAAATGACAGTCATATTTGAATTCAAGACGTTATTTAGCATCATTAAGCTATAGTAGGTACTACTTGTAAAAAAATACTATGTACTTTAACGTGACGTCTGGGTGATCCATTATTAGCCTAACTTACCCTTTAATTTTCAATTTGATTCAAATAAAACTGAGTATGGTAACTTAAGTAGGCCTATTGCAAATCTTAATCGGGATAACAGTCAATTCAATAAAAGCTGTGGCAATGAATTTCAATCAAATCCCTTTAGTGGCACACCCTGGTGGATTCCCCAGGCATGTTTAGCTAAGATTGAAGGCTATTTAGAAAACTTAGTTATTAATCTTATACAAATCAATGAATGTAGCCTACCCTTGTATATTGAAGTTAGAATTTCATACAGTTTGAATTAACTGTAGTGTCTGGCTCATGGTCATCAGGGTAGGTGTATGGCTCTGGAGAGTGGGATTTTTGACAGGGATTTTTCCCTTTTCAGGGTATTTCTCCTATTTTGTCAGCAAGGGAGTTCAAACCCATGTGCATATCCCCTATTTTGGGGGCGAGGAATTCGATGGAACCATCGCCGCCCCCCTACGACCCCTCCCTTTCTACTCACAAGGAGCACTGTAGGCCTATATGTATATGGATCTGGGGAGTGTGTGTGATTTATTTATTTACAAACGGTTGCACCATTTTTACAAGAAAAATACAATTGTCTTCCAGAAAGAAGCAGAGGAAAAACAAAAAAAATCACATGCTAGTACAAAAGTAGTGAAAAAAAACTGGAAAACAAGACTTCAATTTTATGTTAAAATTAAAACAGACATAAAAGATAAATAACAACTATAAATACAAACTATAAATAACAAAAGTATGAATAACAAACTATAAGTAACAACTATAAATAACGAACTATCTGAACAGGTTGACAAAACAAGAGAATCGAAAAACAAAACCAGTAGGCCTATAGGAACAATAATGATAGCAATGCAGTAAGCCGAGCAAAACTTTAGTAAAAGAGGCAGAACAATCTTGATGAAAAACAGATAAACTTGCAGAAAAATAACAATATGATAAGTTATACCTACTCTGTACAAGAACAAGATAACAACAAGTACAACAGGATAGACTATATAAACAAAAATAAATAGCAATGCAATAGGCCTAATAGAAAGTTTGGAAACATGCAAAGATTGATGCAGGAGTTCAGGATAGAGTAAGAGTTCAGGATGGAGTAGGACAAAGGTCGGAGGTAAGCATTACCCTCAGCAAACCGATCCAGGTAACAGGGAGGTTTAAAATATATTTACCCCTTATTTTGGGGTGATAAATTCAATGGAGCACACACCATCCCTTTATCATATTTTAAACCCCCCTATTACCTCTGGAAAATACACAATCACACACACTCCCCAGATCCATATACGTATACAGTTCCCCCCTATAACTCAAAAACGATGATAGATAGAGAGGAACGGTGTTTGCTCAATTGAATTTGTCACCCCAAAAATAGGGGATAAACTTGGGTTTGTACTGCCTTACCGACATATTTCCTACAGCCATATGTACATGTGTAGTAAAAAGGGGGGTTTTGTCCGTAAGGGGAAAAGGAAGCAATAAAAAAGGGTGTATTTGTATTAAAGGAAACTATAAATCCCTAATCAATGTAGCCTAAATGAAAAAATATATATTTTTTATTTGGGTTGCATTTCTCCCCCTTGTAACTTAAATAGAAAGCGGGTCGCAGGGGGGCGATGATGGTTCCATCGATTCCCTTGCAACAAAAATTGGGGTTATAAGTTATACTTACATGGGTTTGTACTGCCTTGCCGAACAAAATAAAATAAATACCCGGAAAAGGGAAAATTCCCTGTCAAAAAATCCCACTCTCCAGAGCCATACACCTAACGTGATCAGTTTTAAACCATAAGATCAGCTAAAATCTTGACAAAAACTGACATAGGGCCTAGGCCAACCTTTGTCTGTTTTAGGGTATCTATGTTAAGCCAAGTTTGTTGAATCCAAAACATAAACCCATTATATCGTAGGTAAAAAGTACCATAAAATTAATTATATAGTTCTTATTCAACATTTGTTTACACATTATAAATATAAAGAAATGAAAATTCTCATATGAAAGAGCCTGGACCTATGTTAACCTAATAATGAGGGCAACCAAAAATAAAACAAATAGAACAAACCTGCTTGTAATTGTTGTCTAAATGCTTTGCAGCAAGCTGTAAAAGTCTTTTGGGGAGATTTCTAGATGAAACTGATAATATTCCAGCCATAGATGAAATATATTTATAATATTTAAGTTAATTCATAAGGGACTACACATAACCCTGGGTCAGCCTTCTAAAAAAGAATTGTGAAAGGTGAGGGAGGTGATCAGGTTAGCCAACTAGCCAATAATCTTACCACTAAAATAAAGTCATCCTATAAACCTTATATTCTACTTTTCTATGGATATTTTTTACATAGTATTATTCTGTACCATCATTATATAAAGGGAATTCCAGAAACTAAGAAGTACTGAAGATAGTCTGCATAATATTCAGATTATGTTCCATCAATGATTGATCTTATGCACCTTAAATTTTTAACATGAATGTACTATCATAGATAAAACATACTCCTCAAAGAGTATGATATTCCTTGAGGAGTATGTTTTATCTATGGTACTATAGTCCTCGCCACCCTAATTTGAGGCAGCCCAAGGCCGCACTAGATATACAGCGTGCGGCCTTGGGCTGCCTCAAGTTAGGGTGGTGAGGACTTTAACGCATAAATTAAACATCATGGTAAAGTCTATAATTAGATTCCAAGAGATCAGCTGAAGGGCTGCTGAAGGCGATATTGAGGAATGTTTCTATGTCCATTACTATAAGTACTACCATAATACTCCCTTAGGATACTACTACTGTTACTAAAACCAAAAATGTTCTCGTTGTTTTGCAAACTTAGAGTTATTTATTTAACTTTTTTAAATTAGTGTATAAATCCAAATATCTTAAAAGATCACCCCCATGACTTTGGGTGGTACTTCTTTGGCTAAGAAGTTTTGTCATATAAAGTACACTCACGACTAGGAACTGAATGCATCATAAACATACTTAAATTATGTCACCGGCCAAAATTAAACATGATTTTATACATATTTAAATGGAAATGTCAATAAACTACCAGATCAGCTGTTATGGTTATCATGGACTATAAAGCATGGCGCGCACTGTCGACTACGGCTCACCCTTACTTACCTGGCTCCGGCGTTTTACCCGCGCAATGCACCGGCCTTCTCCGTTCGACACCGGTTGGAAATACGTCACAACCTCGTGTTCACAAGCCTAGCGTTGCTGTCATTGCACACAACTTTGTTACACGAGTGTCAAATTTAGGTGGTTAACAATTGAAAAATTTTACAATTCCAACATGTCGCTACTAGGACCGACCGACGCCGAAGCCAATAGGGCGCGCCGAGCCGGACCGGTGGTAGTGAGCGGCATCTCATTTGATTACGTGCTTTTTAACAATTTAAAAAGGCCGTAGTCAACTCAGTGCTCGCCATGCGCTTAAGTTAAGCCACTTAAGGATGAACAGATTAGACAGACATTAGAATACAACAGATTAAACTCAGGACATCCTACCATACGATTCAGACATACATTTATTATCATTGTTATATCGTTATTATTATTCTTATGCCTTGTTATTGTTGTTCATAGTCATTCTGCATCGTTATTGTTATTGTTATGTCATAGTTTATAGCTGTTATTGTTAATTATTGATTGTATCGATGCTATTGCTGATGAAATGTTGTTTTGTTGTAATTTAATGTTTTGTGTTTATATAATCTTATTATAATCTTAACTAATTGTATTTTGTAAATGGCATTGCCGTAGAAAATGAAATGAAATGAAACAGATTATAACTGGGGAGTCACCACTATTTGTGTTAAAAAAGCGTGCCCCTATTTTTCGTGTTGTTATGTTGGACAAGTGATTGGGTGGTTGGATAACAATAACAGTCAAATTCGATCCAATCCATCTAATCAGATGGGGTTATTTTTTACGAGTCCAACCAAACCTAGGCAGTGTGACCAACAACATACAAGTGGCCACATAGATGATACGCTTTTCTTTAATGTTTAACCAGAGAGTAGTGGTTCCAGTTAAAATAAATTTATCTCTATGTTATGGACATTTGGGCTAGTGAAGCAATTTGTTTAAGTTAATTATCAATACAGTTTCTGTTCTGAAGTTCGTGAATATAGCAGTAAAAGATAGAACTTATATACTATAATAGATATAACTTCCGAATAACTAAACTAAACTTTACACTGTGTGCTGTAATTTCGTCTTATCAACAGATAGTTTCCGCTAGTTTTTAGTAACCAGGAAGGAAATGTTTCTGATGTATCAAAAAACGTTCAGTTCAAATTTATGATATTTTGGTTACCTATTTATTTTATTCAGTCAATTTATTTATGAAAATTATGTTTAAATTATAGTGTTATATAATAGTCAATGTTAATATCCACAGCCGGAATGCCAACCCAAGGACAAGGCTAATGAAAGCCGTTTATGTGAAAAAACTAGATATTCAGGAATGGCTGAGACTGAAACGAAGGGCAACAACGGAACGGAAACGAAACTAAACTAGATGGACTGGAGATTCCCCACTCCCCACGGGTCTGACTTAGGGGAGGTACAAATGAGGCATTTAGTTCAAAATTCCTCCGTGAACAGACTGTAGTAGAGAGCACTTTGGCAATAAAGGTTTACTAATCTCAAAAATAGTTCTGTTCATAAAATAAAATTATAAATGCCTCAAATTCAATTTTACTATTTTTTAATTATAAAATTAAACTATCATAACCTAACCGAACTAACCAAACTTGCTGATAAAAAAATAATATAACAACAGTTTAGTAATCGGAAAAATAATTCTGTTTATTAAATAAAACTAGAAATTGCTCAATTAAAATTTTATAATGACTTAATAATAAAATTAAACTATAATAACCAAACCAAACCAACCAAACTTGCTGATAATAAAAAAATCTTGGGCAAAAAGTTAATGCTACCAGCGGGATTCGAACCCGGGACCTACAGTATAACAGCCCGGCACGCTAACCATTAGACCACCGAGGCCGATGGCTAACGAACGTTTTGTTACGGTAAAGCACGGGTCACACTAGGCTGGCATCAGCGGCTGGCGAACAGCCTAGTGTGACCCGTGCTTTATGGCGTTCCCTCAGCTAATAAGAAGCCCTCAGCTGTCATCGTAGCCTCTTCTACACCTCCCCTGAGTAAATACCACTCCCCACTCCCAGGCCAAAACTGCTGCAGACGACAAAACTGTACTTAACTAACTAACTTCTAACTTGTGTTGTGTAATGTGTGTGTAAGTGTTAATGGTTTGCTAATGTAAAGTCAAAAATTGAATTCAAACTCTTTTAGTCTCGTCACTCTTTAAAAACCAACTATATATCGAATTAATAACTGTAATTTATAGGAATTTTCAATTCGTAAGGTAGGCCTAATTGGTCTCAGGTACAGTATTATTTATTTCTGTACATTGTTGTGTTGCACTTAAAGATTCATGCAGGTTTGGTGGTTTAGGTTTGTATGTTTTAGTCTATAAGCTAATTATTGCCCAATTCACTAGGCCTAACCGTTGACTAGCCTAATAACACCTTAATGAGTAAGTTAAGGGTAGACTTCCGTACCTGTTGGCACAAACAACCAAATGAAAATATTGATTGAAACAATCGAATAATCAATATTTTCATTTGTTTGATTGTGCCAACAGATACGGAAGTCTACCTGTTAATCTATATATTAGGCTAATACGCAAGCAGTTTTCTTTTCACAGTCATAACTCGATAACGGCTTGATGGATTTTAAAGTTTGAGGTCAAATTAAAGGTATTTTCACGTAGATGTGCAAATACGTCTCAGAATATTTAGAAAGGGCACCACTTAAGTACACTTAAGGGCTGGCTAAAGTGTGGAAGGTGGCGCTATCTGTTGACATTTGATCAAACTCATTTCCCTTTGTTTACAAATAACATATGGACGTAGTTTGAAATAGTTTTTAAGGTTAACCACAGACTGCAGGACTTAAAACTTCCAGAGCAAAGCTGGAATTTATGTTTCAATCTGTTAACTAAGTCTGGTTCATAATGAAGAGTTTCCTATAAATACTAGACAACAAAGTGTTTAAGAATAAATATTTATAATAAAGGAACCAGACAAGAATTGAGGAACGCACCCGGACCTTCCAGCTGTGGCAGGAGAGCTGGGAACAGGAGACAAGGGGGCTCTGGACCAGGCGACTGATACAGCAAGTCCAACCCTTGGTTAATCGGCGGTGCGGAGAGGTGAACTTCTACCTCACCCAATTTCTGACAGGTCACGGCTTTTTCCGGTCGTACTTGTTCAGGATGGGCAAAGCCGTGTCACCCGATTGCATATACTGCCCAGGCATTCCCGATGACGTGGAACACACTTTCTTCCACTGCCAGCATTGGGAAAGGGCCTGTCTGGAGGCTCAACAGTTCGTAGGACTGCTGTCGGTGGACACGGTCATACCGATGATGATGGAGGGTTCGAGGACAATTGGACCTGTGTGTCACTTTACATCCAGGGTGTTCTCCGCGCCAAGAAGCTCGACCTTGACCGGGATGCGGTGTAGGTCATAAAAAAAAAAAATGATGCCAGAAACGGTGTGAGCCCTGTGGGCTTGGGTCACATGTTGGCCTGACTTGAAGTTATGTGACAAACAATTCCAGGTCTGTGTCCAACAGAGCAGAGGGGTTTTTTTAGTGAGTAGTCTGTGATAAACTCAGGAGTCTCACACTACAGGCTGGCTAGCTGTGTGCGTAAAAGCATTTTCCCTCCTCACCCTAAAAAAAAAAAAATCCTCATGTTAAAGTTGGCACCAGTTTTTTTTTATCAAAATTTTTGTATTGCTATGAGCCATACATTAGGCCTATACTGTGATCTAAATTACTAAGTTCTGTCGAATACTCGATGTTTTTTACCAAGGAAAACTGATGGAACGTCTTATCGCGAGCTATAGCATTCTGATATGACCCATAAACTATGTCAGCAACAAAAAAATATGGTAGAAAATGGAATTTTAGATTATTACATAAGCTGTTAGCCTACCTGTTCAATATCATTTACTTTGTCACAGGACGACCGGTTAGTCATCTCATCTGGCAAAGTCAAAGGATATTGAACAGGTAGCAGTTTTTAATTTAAAAAGTCTTATAAATACCCAGTAGTAGAAAGATGAACTCTGAGAATTTTAGACAATAGCACATTTTGTGACTGGCTCAAACAACTATGATTTTTTTCAAATAAATGATTCAAAAAACTGACCTAAACGGTGCGACATTTTTTTGTTTTCACAATTGTAATTTACAGCTGGTTCATATAGATGGGATGTCTACTTCAGTATCCAAAAGTCAAAGCTTGTAGCGATTGGTCAAGTTCCGGCTTACATGCCACAAGCTGTACTGCCATTGACTATATATACACTTCAAGTGATTCTGCCTGAATGTTTTCTTAAAAGGGAAATTCCCCACATCATGGAGATGGTTGGCGGGATAAAACATATAGGTCTAGTTCTTATTTAGGTTTATTAGGGTGGTATCTTTTTGCAAATTCAGAGCTGTATTAAGTTAAGTATTTTGAAGTTAGGTTGGATTAGGAAGGTAAAGTTTAGGTTATAATGATATGAGTTGTTAGTTTATGTTACTTACAGACCTAACACTTCAAAATATTATTTAAAAAAGCTTGCTAGGTGTAGCCCGCAGAACCTCTCCTTAATCTCCTCTCTTTCCAAGTCATCCGTCACCTCTGCACTCCCAGCAACTCACGCCCGACTTAAGTGTCACTCCTGTACGTATCCAGCCAACTCTGTCTGAGACTCTGCTGACTGACCCCTCTCGATGGTTCTCGCACATTGCCCCCCCCCTCCTTCTCTTAGTATTACTTTTCCAGATCTGTGCTGTGAACTTTATGTGGTGTTCTCAATTTCTTAGGTTGAAGAATTTTGATTTTGACAACTACATGAAAACAACTTAATGGCATCGCAGTATAGAAATTTCTTAAGATTGTTGGAATCTTGGCCTATTGATAAAACAAAAACATACAGGTACTTATTATTCACGCTTAACTTAACTAAGTTTTATGTGCTACCTTTTCGCTAAATATTTTTTATTTATTTTTTCTATACAAACTACTACATTTTACCAAAATGTAGGCCTATTAAATAACTTTCTGCAAAATCCATAAATAATAGGCTTGTCTGCAACACACAGATAAACTGTTGTATTGATACTTGTAAATGTAATTTGTCTACAGTCAATCCTTATCACAATTTTTGTTTCCCTTGGTCTAGTTCAAGTCTGAAGTCTGCCTCATTGTACTGCTGTTTTCACATTAATATTTGTAACTTGTAACTATCAATGACAACCATCTATACTAACTAAGCTTAGCACTAACTATTTTTAACCAATACGTTGAATAATTATCTACAATAAATAAATAGGCGAACTCTATTGGCCTTGCTTCTTTTGAATTTAGTATTTTTATTTATTTGTTCAAGTTAAAGTTTTCCAGAAATATTTTGCTACAAAACGCTTATTTCACTAACATTTTTTTTCAAAGTTACAACTTCACTCACTTAAATATTTGTGTAATGATATCCAGGACTCAACAGATATGATAAAACACACACACACACACACATCTCTCGGGTCACGGTATAGTTTTTGGGACTAGAAAAACATCGGGTTTGATTTCCCAGCACGACTGTGTGTGACATCTTTGTTTAATCGTAGGCCTATAGTGGACGTGTTTATTGTAGTAGACGAGTCCTGGATAGGCCTATTACCAAACAAAAATAAAGGTGAGTGAAGCCCACAAAATTTCACTAATGAAAAATAACCCCTCGTCTAAAAGCAAGTAATTTAAAATTCTCTAGTCCTGATTTTTTTACCCATCCAGCGTTCTTGTATACCGATGAAACTTCACACACTTATTGACTTATTAAACAACATCAGTGAAGTAACTGTTACACTATTACGAATATATACAATGTGTAATATAAATCGGAATTGCATCTGTTTTTACATTTATTTATGCTACTGAAATTTGTAACCTATCTAGTTACTGAAAGCCGAAGCGGGTTTAACTAATGGGACATCAGGGCAATAGGGGACCCCTTTAAAAAGGCTACCAGTGCAATCGGGCTCGGTGTGGTGGGACTAATCCCTGACCATCGGTTCATTTATTTATCTCCCCATGTGTGTGTCAATTTTTGAGACAGGTGACAGTTATGTACTAGAAGTCTGTACTACCGCTTTGTTTCCCTCTGGTGCAGTATTTATGGTGATTTATTTACCAGCAGCCTCTGATAGGATTATCCTTCAAAAAATCCATGTGCAGTGTCAAACATTTCATAAATAACCCTTCTCATGTATATTTAGTGATGACTCTTTAATGACTTATATTGGTTCATTTGTCATTTTTTATGCATTTTAAGGATCATATTGATCATAATTAAAGCTGCTAGTATTTTATTTAATTCAAATGTTGAAAAGATTCTTATATAATGACAATTATTATAACAATGGAATTGTAAATAGGAATCCCTCAATAATTGCTGCCTATAAACACTAGATAATTCATACAAATCTAAGCATTTGATCATGGACTATTAGATAGTCAAAGATTTAATATTATTGAATAGGCTTACAAATCGGAAAATATAATTAAGTCAACATTTTTTATAAAATATGTACTTTACATTTTAGTTAAAAAATGAAGGAGTCCCCTTTGATAATTTGGTTTCTGTTTCTACCCATCACAATCAGTCATTTTCACAAACAGTGACTGTTGATCGACAACTGGTAGGCCTACTTACTAATTTTCTGGTGCACTGGTCCAGTGTTAATTTTAAGGACTTTCCCACCAGCTGTGTTGCATATATGAACCCTCCATGAGTTTAAATTAAAACTTACAACCAAGACTGGATTTGATCCGTTGATCCCAAGTGTCCTCTACTGGCTTGAGGGACAACACCTTAATTCCTTCAGCCATATTTGATTTTTGTTTGTTTCTGTAAATGGACCCTAAAGAATCTCTTAAAGCATTTGGTTGTGATTCTTTCATAATTAATCTTTTCAGGATGTATTTTTTCTCTCTTTACATTTAGTTTCTGGTTACTTTTGTTTTTTTTTTAGTTTATTAAGATCGCTGACTTTCTATTTTTAAATGTTTTTATTAGCTCGCTTTCTTGTCTGTTCAGTACAAATTTTGCAATCGATTTTAAACTAACTTCCTGATGAGCTAGAGACTTGAAACATAGCTCACAAATGGATGACAATGCAATATTAAATCATTTTATTTTCATATTTCCCTTGAGCTAAGCCCCATGGGCTTCCAAATTTTCAATATTTACTCAAATGGTTACCTCATTGGCAACCTCCAAATTATTTTTAGTCAAATATATCAATAATTGAAGCCAGCTGTAAACACTTTAATTTGAAAGTTTGTTCAAAGAGCAGAGAGAGGGTATTTACTCAGGGGAGGTATAGAAGAGCCTACGATGACAGCTGTGGGCTTCTTATTAGCTGAGGGTACGCTATTACCGTAACAACACGGGTTGTGGACATCGACCTCGGAGGTCTAGTGGTTAGCGTGCCGGGTTGATGTGTTGAAGGTCCCAGGTTCGAATCCCGCTGGGAGCATTAACTTTTTGTCTAAGATTTTTTTTCATTATCAGCAAGTTTGGTTGGTTTGGTTCGGTTATGACAGTTTAATTTTACTATTAAGTCATTATAAAATTTTAATTGAGCAATTTCTAGTTTTATTTAATAAACATAATTATTTTTTCTATTAGTAATCTTTTTTATATTTAATTATCAGCAAGTTTAATTAAATAGTTTAGTTTAATTAGTTGGTTAGTTCGGTTAGGTTATGATAGTTTAATTTTATAATTAACAAATTATAAAATTGAATTTGAGGCATTTATAATTTTATTTTATGAACAGAACTATATTTGCGATTAGTAAACCTTCATTGCCAAAGTGATCTCTAGTACAGCATACTAGAGTATACTACTAGAGTAATATACTAGAATATACTAGAGTAATATAAACTTTTTTATATTATTTAATTATCAGCAAGTTTGGTTAGTTCGGTTAGGTTATGATAGTTTAATTTTATAATTAAAAAATTATAAAATTGAATTTGAGGCATTTATAATTTTATTTTATGAACAGAACTATTTTTGCGATTAGTAAACCTTCATTGCCAAAGTGCTCTCTACTACAGCGCTGTTCACAGAGGAATTTTGAACTAATGCCTCATTCGTACCTCCCCTAAGTCAGACCCCAGAGAGAGGTACAGGTTCTGCTCCCAAGAGATTTTAAAAATATAAATAAAAAACTTTTTTAAACAAAACGTTTTTAAACGCCCTAAAAAGTAGAAAATAATTTACAAATAATTTATAAATATGTTGAGAGAGAATAAATACTTGTACGATTCAAAACGAAAAACGTGGGGTGCATGCAATAGATAGTTTACAATTACCTTCACCTACTGAACTATTGTATTATTATCAATTAATTGCATGCACCCAACGTTTTTTGTTTTAAATCGTACAAGTATTTATACTCTCTCAACATATTTATAAATTATTTGTAAATTATTTTCTACTTTTTAGGGCGTTTAAAAACGTTTTGTCTAAAAAAGTTTTTTATTTATAAATTATTTTATACTTTTTAGTTTTAATGTGTGTGCATGTTAAATCTATTTCAAGCATCTATATCAGATTAAGACAGAGGCATGTGGGAAATCTAAGGTTTATTTGAGTTTCTTTGCATATAATTATGTATTAGATTGCATGTATGGCCTACCTACTAACTATAAATATATCAATCTATTTAATCGCAATGTTTCTGAAATATAGTACTTCTCTGCAATGCGTTCACTCGAAATATTTATTGTTTACTTTATAGAATACTAAATAAACATAAATTGACATTATTTACAAACACCTTGATACCTGCAATCAGATTTTTTATCTTTATTTTGAAATGTTTGTTTGTATAAAGAATCTCTTGGGAGCATAACCTGTACCTCTTAACCTCTGCTCTTCGAACTGTCAAATTTAAGTATTTACAGCTGACTTAAATTAGTTGATATATTTACATTGTTTCAAAATGTAAACATGAAAAATTTGGAAGCCCATGGGGCGTAGCCCAAGTGAAATATGAAAATTAAATGATATAATATTGCATTGTCATGCATTTGTGAGCTATGTTTCAAATTTCAAGTCTCTAGCTTATCGGGAACATCGTTTAAAATTGATATCAAAATTTGTAGGAAAGCGAGCTAATAAAAAAAAGCCCATGGGGCGTAGCCCGAAAGGAAATATGAAAATTAAATGATATAATATTGCAATGTCATCCATTTGTGAGCTATGTTTCAAATTTCAAGTCTCTAGCTCATCGGGAAGTATAAAAATTTGCAAGAAATCGATTTATTAAAAACAAGCCCATGGGGCGTAGCCCAAGGGAAATATGAAAATTAAATTGTATAATATTGCATTGTCTTCCATTTGTGAGATATGTTTCAAGTTTCAAGGCCCTAGCTCATCAGGAAGTTAGTATAAAATCGGTTGCAAAATTTGTAGCGGACAAGAAAGCGACCTAATAAAAACGTTTTAAAAAAACATTTCAAAGTAATGATAAAAACATCTGATTTCAGGTAAAAAGGTTTTGGTTATGTATAAGGTCATTTTAAATACCACGTTTTAAACACACTAAAAACTAGAAAATAATTCATATATTGTGGAAAGAATAAATACTAACTAGTAAGATATAAAACGAAAAACGTTGGGCGGGAGCATCAAAAAAACAAAGTCCAAGTTGCACTAAGTCAAACGGTTAAAATATTAAATAAGCAGAGCGTTTCATTAAGTCCAAATTTCAATAAGTCCAAAACCATAACTTTTAAATAATCACCGTTTCACTAATTCCAAATTTCACTAAGTCCAACGGTTAAAATATTAAATAAACAGAGTGTTTAATGAGTTCCAAATTTCATTAAGTCCAACGCTACAGTCTCGGCCAGAAGTTGCTGCAGATTGCAGGCACTGTCCGCTGGTGCTCAACTACTGATTATACGTACATTTTAATTATTCAAGACCACTTAGCTGTGTGACTCAACCATGTGTGCCTACATAATGTGAAAATCAAATTTTCATTTGTATCTTTTTAAGAGCTTTAATTCAAGCTTTCATGTGAGTTTCTTAATTGTTCCGTCCCTAAATTAAAAAGTCATTACAAAAAGCATAACAGATTTTTTTTTATTCATGAAAAATTTTAAAACGTATAAATATTCTTTATGTTCTAAAAGCTTTTAAAATGTCATGATGATTAGATCAGTAGTTTCTTTGATCTAAAAACGTGGTACAGTATTTAAAAAAAGTTTTTTATAAATTTTTTTTTTCTAAATAAATATTTCTGTCTCTAGATTTTATTTGAGCTTTTGGTAAATCTATTTTAACTTGGTTGGTGTTATTGATCTTACTTTTTTGGAGGGACGTAAAAATTCTATTGGCAAACCTTTTTGATGGATGTTCAGTAATCAACTTCCTTCATTTGTTATTTTTGGACCTAAAGGCTTTCATATGATTTTGCATCGTTATATTAAGTATATGTCCTATGTCACAATTTGTGTGAAATGTAAGTGTCCTTCTTGCATTTGATACTGGTGTGATAGTTGTCTAGTGGATTTTAGATATTATTTTGTTCAATATTTGGCTGTTCACAAATGTTTACTCTCAAATTCATATTTTGAATGTTTCAGAGATCTGGGACTGCATATCCGTGAACAAGTGAAAGCAAACTTTGCCAGTGGAGGTATATCAACAAATATCAGTGAGCAAGAATGTGATCAGACCTACAACAGTTTGAAAAGACTTTGTGATAACTATTATGGTAATTTACATGTAAGGCACTCAAGAAGTTCAGCGTCTGGATTAACAGCAGAGCAGTGTAATTCTGTGCTATCTACTGAATTCTTGGAGTATTTAGATAAAAACGATAGTTTTCTAAATCGCTTGATTAAAAAATGAGGTATTTCAAGCTGTTCCCTTTGTGTTATAAGCCCGTTAGCAGGGCTTACTGCTGTGAAGCATTAAACAGTTCGACAAATGTGCTTCACCGTCCTGTTATGGCCAAAGAAACTGTTAAGTTTCTTAACCCTTCTGAAGGCGATTTATTTATAGATATGACCTTTGGTGCTGGTGGCCACACCAAACTCCTTTTGAATCATTGCCCTTCATTAAAAGTTATATGTTTGGATAGAGATCCCACAGCTTTTAACTATGCACAAATACTCTCAAACCAATATCCCAACCAAGTAATACCTCTTCTTGGAAAATTTAGTGAAGTCCCACATCTGCTTTCAGGTATGGGCTTAAAACAAAGCTCAGTTGATGGTATTTTATTTGATTTTGGATGTTCTTCCATGCAATTTGATCTACCTGAAAGAGGGTTTTCTTTGAGCAAGGACGGGCCTTTGGACATGAGGATGGATGGAGATCGTTTTCCTAACAACCCAACTGCAGCTGACGTGCTAGCAATGGCAGATGAACAAGATTTAGTTAAAATATTTAAAATATATGGGGAAGAAAAACTCGCCAAGAAGATTGCAAGAGCCATTGTAGAGGCTAGATATACCTTTAAAACTTTTCGATCAACAAAAGAATTTGCCGATTTTGTTGCGGGCATTTGTGACAGAGATTTCAGGCTTGACAAAATTCAGAGACAAGCTCATATAGCAACAAAAGTTTTTCAAGCTTTGCGTATCTTTGTAAACAACGAAATAAATGAAATCAACTATGGAATGGTAATTGCTCAAAAGTATTTAAAAGTTGGTGGTCGTTTGGTTACAATTTGTTTTCATTCCTTGGAAGACACCATAGTTAAAAGACACATTTCTGGAAGTACTATCAACAATGCTGCTAACAGGCTACCACAGAAGTATATTGACTGTACAAAGTCATATAACTTGGACGCTATCGAAAATGTATTGTCATCCTCTTGGAACATGGTTCATAAACATGTTATAACTCCAACAGATGATGAAATCTATTCAAATCCTAGAAGTAGGTCTGCAAAACTAAGAGCAGTTGTTAAGCTTGAAAATTGACAATAGTGGAAACTGTAATTGTAGTAATTTGTAAATCGCCTAATAAAGCTATGTAACAAAAATCAAATGTTTAGTGTTCTTAAAAAGCCAATACCCGTCTAAAAAAAAAAAAATACAATTCAGTCAACTAGGTAAATATTTCAAACTCTAACATGTACACTTAGAGTAAATATATATATTTTAGAAACTCTATTTCCTGAAGCAATATAATTTGCGAGGATCCCTCTTTCAATGCCAACAGCAATCTTGCTAAATTTGTATTATTCAACGGTATTATTCAATTTGTATGTAACGGTAATATTTTAAGTGTTACTCCTTTATATGTTATTTATAGTTATAGTGTATATTGTGATTGTGGGGGGGGTGTGGTCGCTTGGCAGTCAGCACAAAGAAAGGTACTCGAGATTCGATTATATAAAATTATATTTTAATTTTTATTCTCAACCCAAACATTTAAACAATTATAGAGATATAAATATATTATAACAAGAACAAAGAAGGTCAAGTACTAAAGGACAAAATATGATTTTCAATCAAGTATAAATGTTATGTTAATATTCTCAAATTAACTATTCAACCAAAGGGGCAATAGAAATTGGTCTGTATGTAAATATATACAGTGTGTAAATTAAGTCTGGCACACATTTTTTAACTTTTTTTCTATAGTAGATAAAATAAATCAATTCGCGGGACTGATTAATAACAAATGTTAGGCACTTTTTACAAATTTTGAAAATAAAAATTCCCTTAAGGGCAAGGGGGGGTGGGGGGTAACTAAAAATTTTCAAATGACAACCCCCATCTTGTGACCCCTCATTTTAAAGGCCATTGGAAGACAAATCCAAAGATGTGTCTGAAAATTTTTTTTTGCACCCTATCCAAGATGGTGGTTTAAAATGTACTTAGGGTTGAACGGGTAAATCAGGTATGGCACACATTTATTATCTTTTTTACTCTTTGTAGATAGAAGGAATTAATTTGCAGGACTGAGTAAGATCAAATGTTTGGCACTTTTTCATAATTTTGAAAAAAATTCCCCTTAAGTGTAAGGTGGGGGTGGGGGGTAACTAAATATTTTCAAATGACAACCCCCATCTTGTGACCCCTCATTTTAAAGGTATTTGGAAGACAAATTAAACGATGTGTCTGAAAAAATATTTTTTGCATCCTGTCTAATATGGCGGCTTAAAATGTACTTAGTGTTGACCGGGTGAATTTAGTCTGAAACACATTAAAACTTTTTCATTTATTATTATATTATTATTTTTCACTTATTGCCAGACTTAATTTACACACTGTATTATTGTTTCAAATAACTCTATGTAATAAAATGTATGAATTTATAAATATGAAAAAGTATTAAAGTCTTTATTTGTATTGCAAAACTATCTGTGCCCTCTAAGTCCAAAAATATCTAATTAATAAGAGAGGATACCTTGGCCAGCCGGCGCTGGTTCCTGGGGAAGTGTGTTTTTTGGTCAAACTCTACCACCGATGGTATTTTACAATTTAGCTACAAAGAGAGAGGATAAGGCCATGATCAGCAATTTGTTGGATATTGAACTTACTGAATGCAAGAAGCACCACAAAACTGCGTACACTCAGCAACCTACCTTACACAACCAACTGCTGTAACTGATACTTATACAATTGTTTGATTGATTGAAAATCATTTACAAAGTGAATTTTTGAATTTATTATTAAATTACATTCTTGCCCAAAAATTCCTACCATCACAAGTACTAAGTAAAATTGTGCTTTTTTATCTTCTCTTATAGTAATTCAGTTTAAAAAATCTTTGTACAACTAAATCTACAGTTATATCGATTTTATTAATGAATAAGTCGTTGGAAAGCTCATTCACTGTAGGTCTGCAAATAATTATGAAAGTTTGTTCTGTTAGGGTTAATGGTGAAAAACTAAAAAAACGTTTTTCATAAGAAATAACATTGAAAACGGGGGTTTCACATTTTGTATTTGGAGGCAACTTTTGGCTGCCTTTTGGAGTATTTTCAAGAAATGCATTTTGGTAGGTTGTAGGAAATTTTATTCTATTTCAGAATATCTTCCACTTTGGTCGATTTCCTCACCATTTAAAAGTTATTTACAAAAAAGCTTAGCAACCTCCAATGGACGACATCCAGCGATCCAGCCAATAGAGAAGAATTGGAAGTTAAATGTTATGAAGAAGCAAATGAACTAGCCCAATGCTTCACCATTTAGAAATTAATGTAAATAAAACAAAATTTGTGGAACTTTCAATCAGAGATAAAATAAAAAAAGATTTCAAATTAAATATTCTAATTGATGATCAACATAGAAGAAGTAAAAACAATCAAATTCCTAGGACTTATTATAGACCAAAATTTAAATTTCAACTCACATAGGCCCCTATTAAGCACTTATGCAAAAAACTTTCCCAAATTATTTTTATACTTAGAAGATTGTATATGTTCTGTAGTGAAGACGCATTACTCACTGTATATCATTTTTTAATTATTTCCAATATTAGATATGCAATACCTATATGGGGCTCAACTTCATCAAAAACTAAACAAATATTTAAATTACAAAAGTCTGCATTAAGAATTATTTTCAAATTGAAACCACGTCAATCCTGTAAAAAAATGTTTAAAAATTACCAATTTATGACCTTTTACTCAATATATATTTATGAAACATTACTATTTTTAAAGAACAATTTTGAGAAATTCTGGAAAAATGATGAATTATGTGAGAAGAATTATCATTCGAGAAAATTACAAATATTTTCTTCTACATTCCACCAAACAAATTTTTATGAAAAACATCTTTATTACAACGGAAGAAAATTATTTAACAAATTACCAACTAGTATTCAAAACCTAAAATTAAAAGAATACAAAAAAAACTAAAATAAATCCTTACTGAAAATCCAATCTACTCTATTGAAGAGTTCTATGAAAAATGCTACAAAAATTTAAAGAGTTTTATTTAATACTAAACCTAATTGTACTGTGATACAATTTATATTGTCATAAGACAATAAAGTATTTATTTATTTACTTTCCCCCGTTTGAATATCATGGGAATTTTAAATTAACAGTTTTTTAAATATATAATTACTAAGCAACAACGCTTCAATATACAAATATTTTTAAGGTATGAAAAATGGTGAAGAAAGAAAGAGAAATGTTATATCATGGGTCTAAAGTAGAAAACCCGTTTTCACCCCCATAAAACCTGTTCCCTTAGCCTATGTGGTACTTTCCTGTTAAAGGGAACATTCATTATTATCGATAATTTATTTTCGATATATCGATATTTTTTGTTTCCTTAATGATCCATATTCCTTCAGTTTTAATATTTTCAAATGCATTTTTTCCGTCAAACTCCATATCCAAATGCTCAAGTCAAAATCCAAAGAGCAATGGCTTAATCTTTAACCAATGGTAAATTCAAGGCGTTTTCACTGTTATCTGTCGGATTGTTGCAGTTGCATGGTTTCTTATACAGTGAATATAGCCGGCCATCATCAAAATTGAAAAAAAAAACTGATAATTGGTGGGCCAATTGAATTGAAAGATTCCGCATTGATTGAGGAAGAGGAAAGGAAATTGAAACTTCAAGCAAGTTTAACAAATTTTCCCGGCGCTCTGTCCTCTCCTCTCTGCCTTGCCTGACTCGATCCTCCCTTATCTGATACTAGTGATACTGATACAAAACCTATACAATACAATTAAAAACATCGCAAACTAAGTTTTCCATCGTGTTCTTCTTGAAATGTAAGTTTTTTTGTTTTATTAAATCAAGAGTTGTTATGTTATTGACTTTAACTTATAAACAAATTATAAAAGTAGGCCTAAGTTAACGATCTGAATAATATTATACTGTAGCTGATTACATAATGTTGTGATCAACAGGTTAGTCAAAATAACTTACATCTTGAAAATAAGGATGATTAGGCTAAATTTAAGTTAATTAAATTAGCAATTTAGATGAAGAAATAATTAATTCCACGTTAATAACTTAAACGTTTTAGGCTAGGCCTAAGTTAGATCACATCGAAACTTTATTTGCCTAGTAGCCCTAGAGAACTTTATTTGAAATGTAAGTAGATAAATATCTAAAACCCATGATAACTAACTTAACTATTCCATTACCTGTTCAATATTAATACCAACCATAGGTAGCGTACAGCATTTTTATCCATGATACAAGTAGCCTATTGTGACACTTGCTACCGATCGCCACATAGGCCTATATGCGATGCTGCGGTCACTGTCACGGACCGAGGTAACTTACTTATACATTTGAATTTTAAGTTACACATCTAATCTTAGACCGGGTGTCTTTTGGTACACAGAACACGCAGACCGTGGGCCAGTGATGCAGCAAAGTAAAAAACAGTTTTGCCAACTAAGTTATCATATGACGTCACTAATCATCATATTATCATATAATCACCATAACCACAGACCAAGTGATGCACATATGCGACAGACATCTCTGTAGACCACTGCAGAGAATTCAGTGCCTTCCAATCGACCGTTACGAAGATTAAGGTTTTTAATAACATTGGGGTACCGATACATATATGCGACAGCAGTCTTTGGGTACGAACCAGCCTTCGCATAATTTATGTGCATCACTGGTCCATATGAATGAAAAATTATGTAATACAGTAGAACCTCTTTAATCTGAACTAATTGGGACTGGGGGGTAGTTCGGACTACTGAATAGTTCGGATTACAGAACATATTGTTGTTTGTACATAACAATAGCTAGGGAAAAGAGATAAATGCTTTATAAAGTAAAATACAGTGTTTATTTAATACAGTAAACTTAGTAAACATAGGGAATAAACGGTACAGTACATTACAATTGAAATAATTACGGTGTGTATATCAATAAATACAGTATAAAATAAAGAACTACTGTACTGTGTATAGAGTACAGCAATGAGGCGTTCGGATTAGAGGGGTTCGGATTAAAGAGGTTCTACTGTATTGCGGTGGCGAACGTGGTAATGGCCACTTAAATCACCTGCATAGGCCTACATCAAAAGCCTTACACTAGACCCTTCTTGCCAACCTCATCAGATTGTCTTGGATTTAAATACCAACTTGTGACCAACATCACGTTTTCTTGTCACCTTCTTATGTGTGCTGAGTTAGACCATTTAAACAAAAAAATGTTTGTACGAGTTCAGGATAATTTTTTCGATTCCATCCCCAGGAAATGTGAGCAAGTCAGATTTAAAATTGGGTAGGAACCACTCTCTCTTAGTATACACAAGTTAGCATACCTAGCCTACATTGTAATGATTGGGACTTTAATGAACAATTCAAACAAACAGGACTGCTACTTAAGACACTCTTACTTGGAAACCCATACAAAAACTTAACAGTTAAACTTCATTATAAGGTATTGAATTTTAGACTCTTGATCACATTTAAATGCTAAAGAATTGATGTAAATACCTGCATTTATGCGACAGTTAAACACAAGTAAGTTTTATCCATGAAACATTACCGTCCTATCTGACGGACTATTTATTTAGCCTGAACAGTAAATACCATTTTACATTATACATTTCAATTTTTTTACAGATGGCCAAATGTGAAAAAAATATAACGAAATAATAAGATGCGTGTGACCATTAGGCCTACTAAGCCTACTAATAAAATTGCTTCAATAATGATGAGTAACAATATGATGTGTTCAGTCAACTTAAGTTGTGCACACAACTTAATTTGACTGAACACATCATATTGTTCACTTAATTCTGGCTACATTAGGCTTGATTTGCCCGTGAATCTTGAACACAACCTGTCCACCTGATGGTTTTTTTTTTCTCTTTCTTGTCTAAGTTACGCCAGAGGATATTTTAAAAATAGTTATCGAAGAAAGCTCACAAACGCTTTTATGGAAAGCGGTCCAAACCCATATGTTTTGTGAGTGTGCCGGGAATGCAGTGAATGACTGCAGTACCTTCAATGTAAATTATTTCTCAATGCGAGGGTTGTCTGTTTAAGTCTCCATTGCACTCCTGTCAGAGCCAAGAGAGATACCATTGTTAAAATTTGAGACCAACTTCACAAATCTTAAACTAGGCATATCCACTACTATTATAGCCAGCTCTCATTTCTATCGGACCTGTATGGGAATTACTCTCATCATACAGTAGGCTACTACCGTATTAATTTAAATAAACATTAAAGAAAATTAACACTCTTGTCAAGTTAAATCTTTCTTTGATTAAATTTTAGAGTTCTCGGTCATAAATCAAAGTCCATTGCTAGTTGATGGTACACAATAGTACTAGATTTTTCATTCAAATGGACCAGCGACGCACATATGAGATGGCCGGTCTCTACCCATAGACTGCTATCGCATATTTGCGTCGGTCTTCTCAGTGGCGTAACTAGAACATGGCTTTAGGGGGGATGGAGAAGCCCCAACACCAGGGGGCCTGGGGGGTATGTAATTTTGAAAAATTAGAACTCCAAACTCGCGTTTTCAGGCATTCCAGAGGTGTAATCATGTTCAAAAGAACTCCATAAATCAACCCAATTGAGGCTGTCTCTGGCCGGGCAGAATCAGGAAATAGCCAGTAACTAAATCATAATCACAACACAACAAACGAACAAATTATCATTAAGTTGTTGTTGTACTGTAGCCTTCTGAGCCCCCAGAGGAAAGGTAACTGCCCGGTGTTGGAACCGGCACTTCAGGTAAGGCCATAGCTATGGACGACTGGGATCGCCAGCCCTTAGGGGAGCCCCCAGTGACATTCCTCCATCCAGGATGGTGGGGTGTTTAGCTCTCAGAGTGTAATTCTCTCACCTACCTGTGGCTGTGGTTCTACGGGCTTGCCCTGCCTGTTGTGTACGACTGACATTCTGTGAGGTATATCCTCGGCTCTGGAAGTAGCCTCTTCCTGGGAGGTGAAAGACGGGCAATTGCCAAGCCCCCAAAGGGGAGGTAACTGTTGGAATCGGCATTTCAAGTAGGCCATAGTCATGGACATCTGGGTAGCGCCAGCCCTTAGGGAAGCCTCCAGTGACATTCCTCCATCCAGGTTGGTGGGGTGTTTAGCTCTCGGAGAGGTGGAAGTGCGCCATCAATCTCCCATCTACCTGTGACTATGGTTCTATGGGCTTCGGCCTGCTTGCTTTGTGCGACCAACATTCTGTGTGGCAAATCCTCGACTTTGGAAGTAGCCTTTCCTGGAGGTGAAATCGGGCGAGTACCCGTAAGCTCACGGGGACACTCTAGGGGAACGGAACTTTCCGCAGTGTGAGGGCAACGGCTGGGCGCACTCCATCAGCCAATCCCTGTCTCTGAGCCCGGAAGGTATGGTTATCTAGAGTGTGGGGGGTTCTCCATGGAACCTCAATTGAGTTAAGGGTGTCGCCACCTTTGGTGGATAGGTTCATCCGGGTGGGTCCCATTTCTATACCTGCCTCCTTTTGGGAATCCCTGATGGCCCGGTAGTGATGTTGGGTTAGATGGGCAAACGAAGTAGATCGGGTGCTGGGGTCAAGCCCGCTGGGGGTATCTGGGGATCTATCGCCCTAGTTATCCCTGGTTTCCCAGCGAATGGGATGGCCTTGATCGGGTAGTGGTATAAATAGGGGGTTGGGGGTCCCCTTCCTCCTGGCTTTGATGGCGGGTTATGGCCTGTCAGGGATTAGATAGGTCCCGATTGTCGCTTGCACTATGTTGCGTCCATGGACTCCATCATGGTCTGTCGGGGTTTTCGGCCCTGGGGGAACCCAGTTGGAGGGACGTAAGACCAAGTAACCGGTATCCCTGGTTAGGATTGAGGAGCAACCCTCTTTCCGAAGGGTTGCTTCGGCAGCCGGTGAGCCTGATGACCTTAAGTCATCCACCCATGGTGTGACTAAGGTTGGTGCGTACGCTCCGGCCCACACTATGGGGCCCGGGTATGTTGTACAGCTCTTTTGACACAAAAAATGGAAAAAAAATGTAGCCTTCTGAGCTGCGCGTCAAGAGCCGTATCTGCTGGGTTTTTATTAAAAATTAATTTTAACAGGCTGAACACGTAAACTCCACATGAGCGTCAGTGTTGCCAACCTAATATGATGATTTTCCACATAATGGCCACTGAAAATCCCCGATTTTCTTCACATACGTTTGTCGTAACTGTGTATTTGAGGGCCCCAAATTCTCTGCAGTGGTCTACAGAGATGTCTGTCGCATATGTGCGTCACTTGGTCTGTGGATATGATGATTAGATACGTCATATGATAGTTGGCAAAACTGTCTTTTACTTTGCTGTATCACTGGCCTGTGGTCTGCATGTACTGTGAACCAAGTGACACCCGGTCTAGAAGTCTGAGATTAAAATGTATACCTCGGTCCATGACAATGACCGCAGTGTCGCATTTATATGAGGCAATTGGTAGCGATCTGTACAATTGGTTAATCATTGTATAAGTATGGGAACTGGCTTGAGTAGTAGTGGGCAAATAAAAAAAATAATATGTTAGTTTCAGGTTCGTATCTAGCTTGATTGGCCGCGACTGGAGCTCAATGGAGACAAACATCGAATTTGATAGGCCTATTTGTTTTACAAATTATGTGTCAAATTGTAGCCCCCATGTAGTAAATATTACTAGTAGTGCAATATTTAAAACCCAGCAGCCCAATTCTGTAGCGTTTTTGGCAGCTAGGAAATCAAACCTTAAATGAAAAGTCACTTATCGATTGTAAATCAGTACAATCAGATGTTCTTCTTTATATTATTTGATAGTGG